GATGTTAGACCATCATTGAAAACCTGGAAGCACTGGACGGCCGTTTCGTCCTATTGTAATTTTGACCCGTAAATTATTTTCTTCTATATTTCTCTAACTGCCTGAATATTATGTAACTCTATTTGATAATAAGAGCTTCAAATCGATTTATGATGCAATCTTTTCTATTCTTCGATAGACATATATTTTCCATATATAACTATATGTACATACGAATATACAGCTTAAGTAAATGATTTCTTAGCTGAATTCTCTTTATTTTTACTTACATGACATTCAGTTAAAAATTGATATTCATATTTATATCATGTTCAAAATCTTAGTTCAAAAGAATGATATTCAAGGTATTCAACTATCTTGATTGATTTATTTTTCCTTCTTAAAAAAACTGAAAACGAATTATTTCATAGGGTTCATTGTGACGATGTTCATTGACTTTTCTTTCATAGTCAGAATTATTCATAACAACAGTGGTGTTTCCCTTATCTACTCTCATAATAACAATTTTTTTCTGTCTTCGTCGAAATCTAACAATGAAAACGAATTCATTAAATTAATATACGTATTTGATCCGTTTTTTTGTGGTTAATGAGTTTGGATAGTATATTGAAAGTACTCTTTGGTTTTGTGAAAAAAACAACATTGTAATGTATTTGACAAGTATGTATCTATCTATATGTATCTATACGTCATCACCAGATTGTTCAAAGTATTTGACGTAAATACATCACATCTATCTCTTCTCATTACCTAATTTGTAATATATGTGTACTTTATGAATGAATGGATTGTCACATTTTACATTTATTTCTTCCGTTTTTTCTTCATGCAAGGTTGTTACAAAATTAATAAATCTTACAAACTTTTAGATTATCTCGTTTAATTTAGTACTTAACTTTGAATTACAATGTAATTATTTTGAAATATTGTCTTTTCTGGTTCGAATATATTATAGCTTATTATATCAATCGATATTATGTACCTGATCATGATTTTGGTTATTGATTAGTTTACCCATATGATCAGTAGAACTCATGATCTATTTTACAAATTTACACATTGACTAATGAACCACAATCAAGGCTTTATATTCTTTTTAGCCCTTGAACTCTCTCTAACTCATTAGTAGCCAATCAGAAGACACAGATACCAACTAAGAAATCATATAATGTCAGTTAATAGGTTCGCTGAAAGCTTACAATAAGAGGAATATCGAAACGCATCAATACCGTTATCTATTAATTAAGTGATGAAAAGAGAATCGATAATAGTAATAATCTGGGAAATAGTTCCAAAAGCTCCGACTTTCGCGATATTCGTCCTTTTGAAAACAGAATTTCTTTTACAAACATCGTTACAGCAATTTCCATATTACGCATTATTTGTTGACACAGAGATCAGAATAAAGTTAGCTAGGAAGTGGCTAGCTTGTGATACGGCTCCGTGGCATAAAAGAAAACTATATAAGACTAGCATTTGTCGGTTCATCAAGACTCCCTGGTTCGGGTCCTAGAGAGAGTGCAACTCAATTGCTTGGGAAATTATCGGATATTAATCAGAATAGAAGCCCAGGTCTTTCCTGCCATGGTTTTGTATTCTTCATAAAAGTGAGATGTATTACCTTAAGCAAAAGAAGTCCTTGTTTGTATCATGTAGATATCATGTAGATATGGTGAACCATGAATTCATTTTATTAATGGTACAATTTCTACTTTGTTCACCGATTTTTTGGACGAATCAATGGTAATCGAATAGAAATTATTACCCTGATCGATGAATTTTTTTTCACTCTACACATTTTTGTATACTGGTAGCACATATCAGTGGAAATATAAATGTAATGTGTTTATCTTTTTATTTGTTTATATGTGCCTGGATGTTTTTGGCGATAATATAAATTTATCATTATTATTATTATTTCCTTTGTGATTTGATTTAATTTTGTAATCAACCTCTCAAATAGCACATGTAATTCATAATTAATGACTTTTTATTTTGTTTACTTTTAAAGGAATTCAGTCTAAGATTGCTCACTTTCAAAAAAAAAAAGAACTTTTGTTTATTTTCTACCGAAATTTGTTTTGAATGATCTTATCCATTATATTTGCCAGCAACTACATATGTTATATTTAAAATCTATTTTTGTTAAACAAAAACATGAAAGAATAGTTTTTCTATTGATTTCTAAGTATAAATTGTTTGGTTTGGACGATCGAACCATCCAACCCAGAGAACAAAACTCCATCAAAATCATCCACCTGAACTACAAATCTTTTTCATCAACTCAGTATAAATTATGTTTAGTGTTAAAATAAATATTGAGACATGAAAGAGATTGTGTTAATTGATAATAAAACAAGAGTTGTGTTCTGTAAGACTGTTAAATTAATCGATTGTATTTATCAAATATGGTTCCAGTTTGGATAATATTGAAAACCAAGGAGAGGTGGACAATTTTTCATATTAGTATGAAACTCCTCGTCATTTCGAATCCATGATTTTGTCAGAGTTCAAACACATAGAGTTTAAGTTTCATGATAGTCATTAGGACCAGTGGGTCGAAATACACTGATGTATGTTACTAGCTTCAATCGATTTGAGATATAGCCCGATGACTAACCAATATCACTGGCATAAAATATTGAACTGAACACCAGTCATAACTGAAGCAAGTCTCTGGTGAGCTGACTATTAAAGTTTATTTGAAAAGGTTTTGTAGAGATGGCTATGGTATTTTTAGATCATAATTGTCGCATTTCAATCTTTAAACTACTTACTGTTCTTCACCTTAACAACATGGAATGATTCTAATTTCTATTAGTAATAATATTGGTCATAATATTATAAAACAATGGATACTTAGGTCATAAATATTTTGTTTTATTTATTTCTCAATTGTTACTTGAATTTATTCTCTGTTCTATTTTGTGAATATGAGATATGCTCATTGGAAATGACACAGGTGCAACTATTTTTTGTTTTAATTCACTTCGCATTGTTTTACTTGAATCTTCCCATTGATGTTTGGGATTTAAATTGATCAGTCTCTTATTAGCATATGTGCATACTGTGCGCATTACCTCGATATTGCCTTAATTTACAAGCATTATGAGCAAAGATGGCTAGTGACTATCAGTGGAATCCAGGACGCGCGTTTCGTCATATTTGGGACTCGTCAGCTGGATGTACCTGCATCTCAGAGTTGATGTTCAATGTGGGACTCGCTTCAAACGCCATCGCCAGTGTGAAGATGAACTTTGAGATGCAAGTAAATCCAGCTGACGAGTCCCGAATAGGACGAAACGCGCGTCCTGGATTCCACTACTAGCCATTATCCATCTTTGCTTATAATATTTTTTGTTTTCCCTTAAATTCTAAGCTTCTAAATTCATCGTAATTTTTATTTTCGTTAATTTCTATTTTCTTGAATCATGTGTTCGATGCCTAATCTTTTCCCTCATGACCTCTAATACTCTGAGATTCACTCTAACGATTTCATCTTTCTTTGTTAATAGGAATTGACAACTTGAAACGATATACATACACATCAGGTTCTACGTTACAACTGACATGTAATTTTCTGTCCTTATAACATTCTTAGGAAATTGTCAAGTCATTAAAGAATTACCCGTGTTTGTTATCTAATTGTACAGAACTAATTATGGTCCAATTACATATTTATTCTCTAAACAGTTGTTTTATATATAATCTAGAATATGGAGAAATCTAGTGACATAATCCATAGTACATCCAAGTGTACTGTAGTTTTATTATTTTCCTTATTGTTCTTCTATATATCTCAAGCTTAGTGGCATTTCAGAAGTTTCGTTCCATTTAATCCATTTCTTTTTAAAATATATAATTTATGTTTATATTTCCATTGGAAACTATGTTGTCATTACCCTTGTTAGATGCTTTTCTTTACTAACTTATTTACTGTGACATGTGATATATCCATGTTAGATCGATAACTTACAGTTGTTTTATGGTTGATTATAAGCCTATGTGTCAGAAGATAAAATTTTTAGAATACAATCATTAAAATAAATAAATGTTGTGTTCAAGTGAACTAGATGACTTGATTACGGATTTGTTTTGTCATTTTGGACAAGATTATCATTACCTACATCAAATAAGAGTGAACCTTTCAGTTACTCTATGAGTATTATATAAAATGAAAACAACAGAATATACAACGACTCACATATACTAAATAGGCTATCATGACGAACTAATGTTGCATTTGTAGAATAAATTAAAAATCACTTTGTCGATATCCAGGACTAATTTTTAATCTGTCCTTTTTAGTGTGTGTGAGTTCTTAGTAGATGTATCGATATTACATTTGAATATTCAATTTTTAGTGTGTTTGAATCGTGCATTTTAAATTCGGTTGCTCTTCCTACACTTAATACTAAACTCTGTAAATGAAAAGGAAATATTATCAAATCCATTCAGGAGAGAGTTCGAATAAACGAACAATAATGATTGATAGACTCACAATTTGTTATATATATAAGATTACACAGAAGTTTCGACAATGAACTTGTTTAAAAGCATTTCATTTAACAATAGATTAATTTCTAGTCAGATATGAAATCGAGTTATAATGAGTTATGTCGGGTATTTCAAACAACGATAGAAAGAACAGTTCATAGAAGACATGAATCAGATTCTTCAAAAGCCTGATATGTTCTTCTATTAACGATAGTTAAACATTCATGACTACAAAGTTTAATGAACAGTTCTGCTTACCTCATTTTGTATATTTAGTTGATGGGATAGCTAAGTAAGTATCAACTATCAACTTATGCATGTGTACTGAGGTCTAATAACTTGACGTTTTGAAATGGATATTTAATATGAATTTTCAGTGATGAAATGAGTTATTTTTCTTAAATATTCAACATAGTTTGTATTACCTGTGTGTAAATCATTATAGAAAGAAAACGGGTCATAATAATAATAATCTTTGCTTACTGTTTTTTTTAATATCTTAGTGTGTAATCTACTTGTTTAGTTTGAAAATTCTACATCCACGCAGTCTGTTTCTTCTACGTGGTAATCATGAATGTCGTCATTTGACACAATATTTTACATTCCGACAAGAATGTAAGTGTTTTATTGATATCATTATTATCATTATTATTGTGATTAGTGTTTTTATATTCTTTTATTGAATTCTTTAGAGAATAAAGCCTATATTAAACCAAGAAAACGTGTTGAACTTACGCTGGTTTTTCATAGAGTAGTAGTAACTAATACCATATTTGTCGGTAAACGTATACTTTATCGATGAAATTATCAGTTTTAAGATGGAGGTTATTGGGAATTTGCATGAATTTTAAAACTTAATGACTGATAACTTCTATCTTATTAAAAGCTAATTAAGAAATAAGTAAATTATCAAATCTTGGTTATGAAGATGCTCAGTGTTGGTAAACTTAAGAAGAATAAAGAACAGAACCTGTGTTTTATAGAGTTTTGATATTTATAATCAAAGAATTACCACTGTATTCGTTCGTCTGGGTGCTTAACAGTTTCTCACTCCACTCCTAACCATTAATCCTAAGCCTTAGTCAATATCCTAACACAAACTCAACTTCAATCCTAAATCCTAACTGAAACCTTTTTTAGACTTTTTACATATTATCTTCATTCCGATTAGCTGAAAGCGAGCTTTACTGTCCCAAGATCATTTTAGAAGTCACTGGAGGTCTTCATTAAGGTCTCCTTTCATCTATTTCTCTGATCATTGGTACTAATCGATTTCTATCGAGCTCTCTGTTACTTATCCCTAGTCTATGTAACTTTAAGCTGCCTTATATCTGATTCCAGTTATATTGTATGATGATTACTATCGAAATATAAATCCCGGCTACCCTCGTATATAATCATCAACTTAAATTGCGTTAGTGAATAACGGAGTTAAATAAGTCAAATATGAGAATGGATTTCCAATATGTATATTTCATACAATAGTTGATCCAGAAAGGTGAAACGAAGCGAAGTGAAACGAAATAACGGGCGGTGGAGAAGGCTAGTGAGCCAACTCGATTTCATCAAGCGTGACCTAATATTTATTTTCAGACAAAAATAAATCAGACACATAATGAATAGGGTATGTAGTTAACACACATATGACCATATAAAAATCAGTCGGGCTGAATTATGTGACCGTGAGACTCAATGAGTGCTTTCAGTTGTAACCGATTTGGCCTCACGATCAAAAATTTTCCTAATGGTCGACTAATAATCGACTAAGTGGAGGCTGATTGATTTGCGAGAACATAAGACAACTCTAGTGAAAAAACTGTGTAACTGAACTAGCTAATGATGCGTAGCTATGCTCACTCGAAGGTTATATGGCTAAATACAAGGCCATATAGATTGCGATGCACAACAAAGTGAAAAAATACGATGTATGCCGAAAACAGGTCATTTAGGGTGAAAATCAGAATAATAATCTTATGACTAGAGTACATCAATAGTTCGAGAATCGAATAAGATATAGCGATAGTTTATAGATCAGACAAAAACTGAAGATTAGCGTTATAAGAAAAAAGTTATAACTCAGTTGTTCGTAATATCACATAATAAACAAATATCTTAAAATGTAGGTTATCCAGTTTGTCAATTTTCCTTTGTTTTTCTCATCATAACACCTCTTCATACAAATAATTCTTCATTTATTCTATAATGTAGTTTTAAATAAGACGAACCTTTTTCCATTAACTGATAGAGTTGTTATCACCATGGGGATTTATGGAGATTATAGCATTTTAACAGTTGAATTCACGAGTCAATGAAAATAATGCCCTAGTGAGTAACTTCATGATGGGTTTTCTGGAGTTCCAGTGAGTAGCCATGACCAGTGGAGTTCAATACGTGTCGGGTGTGAGACAGTTATCCACCTCAAACATTGGATATAGAATCGCGCAAGACCATGGATCGATTGTAGTTGGACATTAACACGGTTGGATCTGGGCTTGGTGGTTTAGATGATAAGCGTTCGCGCGCGAAACCAAGTGTCCTGGGTTCGAGTCCTGTTTGTGGGATCATGGATACGTGCTGCTGAGGAGCCCTATATATGGACAAAACGACCGTCTAATGCTTCCAGATTTTCAACGGTGGCTTACCGTACATTGACTCGTGAATTCATCTATCAATCTCCACAAATCTCCATACTGATAATAAATGTTGTTCTAATCTCTCAATACGATTGTTCAACTTATCACAATTAATAGATCTTATTAACACTTTTCCAAGTATATATATATATATATATATATATATATATATATATATATATATATAATCAATTTTTTCTGTATATCGTATTACACAATGCAATTAGTATTATGTTGATACTAGTAATAGTCGTAATAAGAGTAAATCTTGACAAATATACATGCATTGTACTGATCTGTTATTTTTTCCTATCAACGTTATACTTATATCGTATATAGTGGTAGTAGTAATATAATTATGATTATTATTATCACCATTATTTCTGGTTCCTATATCATAAATGTATACATTTTTGTGCTTGAACAATATTAGGTATCATGAAGAGTACGGAACATGTTTATGAAGCTTGTATGGAAGCATTTGATCTTTTACCATTAGCTGCATTGATCAATCAACAATTTCTATGCGTACATGGTGGGCTATCGCCTGAATTGCATACATTAAATGATATACGTAAGGTAATGTAGCGTTTCTTTTCTTTCGTCCTCTTATTGTTTGTACTTATTTACTTTGTTACATCTTTCTAACTATTTATTTTGAAAATACATGGTATAACTGACAAGTTGAATAGTTATTTACTTTAGCGTATAGATTAGTTGAAAATTAACTGACTTCATTTATTGATTCAAAGGTTAGGAAATCATTGTAAGATAACGAGTGTCTTGCGTTTGATAATCGGTTGGATTGTGGTTGCACACTGTTACTGTGGTGTTCTATATTGAGATGAAATAGCCGCTGTCCAGTGCTTTCTGGTTTTCGATGATAGTCTAACTATTATCAATCCCTAATGCAAACTATGAAAATATATTTATCATCCATTAATCTGTTTTAGTGATTGTGTACACAATGTTAAGATGTTAGATGGTTGATGCTAGTTGTCAGTAAGCCGTTTTTAACCCAAGTTTTATACTGCTTGGTACTTGTCCACAGTAAAGTGTACCGTCAATTTTGAAAGAACTAATGCTACTCTATGGTGTAAATTCATTTCATGATCAATCGCAGTTATGTACAATCTAATAATAGTGTCAACAATTTAAAGATCTTATACAATAACTTTCACTGTTTTTTTTCTCTCAAAGTTGGATCGATTTAAAGAACCACCAGCATTTGGTGCAATGTGTGATTTATTATGGGCTGATCCATGTGAAGATTTTGGTCAAGAAAGAAATTCGGAACATTTCAGTCATAATACAGTTCGTGGATGTTCATATTTCTACAGCTTTAATGCATGTTGTCATTTTTTACAAGCTAATAATTTACTGTCTATTATACGAGCTCATGAAGCACAAGATGCCGGGTTAGTTGATTTGTTTTTTTAGCATTTTATCATTAAACTAATTAAGAAGAAAGAATGAAGGCAATTTTCGGAGAAGGTGGCTTTCTTGTCGTTGACATCATTTTCTGAAGCTGTACAATCGTAATGTTTATAGGTAATTTTTTAAATACATGTAATAGTCTACGGCAAAACAGAGGAGTTTTACACAATTGTCGAAACTAGTCAAAAAATATGAAGTGGTATTACATAATATAATCAAGATTATCAAAAGATTTCAAGTATTGAACAAATCGAAGGGATGGAAGTTGTACCATTTGGTAAGGTAATCAGAAATCATTAAGACCTAAAGTTGTGTAATAGTGTTGGAAGTAAGAAGAAGTAATAATTTCTAGAATAAAAACAGAAGATAACTATCTGCTTTACGAAGTAGAAAGTGAAGAGTAAGGAAATAATCAGTACTCGCGATTTGTAATATTCGAAGAGATGCTGAGACAATACCATGGGAAAACGAGGGATTGAATATGACTCTTTTGTACCCAGAAGTCGGGTTTGAAATGGAGAATAGGTATACTCTCCGTTGTGCACAAGTTTTTCATCCAAACCTTTTTAGAGTCAGTACGTCGTACTGTGTAGAGGATTTCAAACTATGATTCACGTGGTCGGATGTGACCCAATTATCTTGATTATATTGTGCAACACTAATTCCTTGACTTTCACATTCAAATAATTGAATAAGTTGGACTGTCTTTAATAATTTTGTAAGACTCTTCTATTTTACCGCGGACTATCACCTATATAAAAAAACTACCTATAAATACGATTGTACGTCTTCAGGAAATGATATCTTCATAAAGAAAGTTGTCATCACTGAGAATTGTCTTTATTCCTTTTAGTCAATCTGTGACTTTCTTTTCGTTAAGCAACTGTTGATCACTTTTCATATTTAGACTTTCAATAGTTTTTTTGGTAATTTTTTATTATCTTTTTAACAGGATACATTTTGGTGGTTTTCAGTTACTGTATTACCGAACTATAAAACTTTTAATTCAAGATACTTCTGTTTAATAGTAGTAGACACTGTAATAAGTTTCAAGGGAAAATATAGGTGAAAATGTTTCAAAGCATGGAGTTAAGTAAAAATTAAATACATACACTGTATTGTAATCACTTTCAAACTATATCAACTGAGTTCTTTAATCATACCTTGTATATATATGTGGTATATGCTACTTATGTCGACAGATATAAGTAGTACGTAATACCGATCACAAGTGGAATTCCTGGCAGCAGGAGTTTGAGAAGATCGGATCGAAGAGAACAAGAATGTCAACAGAGAGTAATTGTAACAATAATTGGAATGAAGGAACAAGGAAGTTTGTGAGAAACAACTGGTAGTTGTGCAAATTATGTATTTGATATAGGGTTTTCACATTTTAGGAAAGCACTGTAATTTTGCACTAAACAATAAATTGGTTTATCCATTTAAGTTCTCACTTACTACATATTTACACATATGTTACGGACTCTTATAATGTAAATGTCTGCATCCTAGTAAGCATTAACTCCATGTACTGGTGTCAATTATCGTTTAGTAGTAATTTTAATGTAGTTATTTGTGAATTGACATTGGATATTGATATACAGTAAGCGGTGCCTTGAAATATGTAATACATAACACGAAACTACATTAGTCGATGCAACGTTTTTTCTCCATCACCAGTTTTATCACCTTTTAATGTTCAATGGTGGTCAGAATTTCAGAAAGCATTAGAAAGCTGTTTTATCATAGTTTGAGATTTCTCATATATACTTTTCTATGATCCAAGTTACAATTCAATTCAAACGTTAATCGCGCCAAAAGTTATCGACTGATAGCGTAGAATGTTTGAAATATACTATATTTTTCGTGACTTTCTTGTTGAATAGTGTCATATTGTATGAGATGCTTTCAGGTTGTAGATTTATTTTTGTGAGGAGTCCCAAGGTAGGACGAAATAGATTACAAGTGCTCTTTATTTCTCAACAATAATTTCCTAGATGAAAACAATTCATAATGAAAGTCGATTGTAATAGAGTAGCCAATAATTTATTAGTTTTATCGTAATACTTCAAGATACACTGCATTAATAAACGTTTCCCAACTTCCGTTGTCGTTTACAGAAAAAAAAACAATCTTTAGTTTCAGTTGTCTTTTTAAAATTGCTTATAAGAATGCCAAGACTAATAGGACGTAATTTTGTAACATTTTGTGTAGATAAATGAAAGCTTAATTACAGTAAATGTAATATTTCCAACAATTTTACTATTATTTATTATGTTTAAGGTTTTTGTGATTTTTTCTGCATTGTTGATGGATTCTTTTATTTATAAAAATGTATCTATCCTGTGAAGAAGGAACGATCGAAAATTATTGAATAAATGTTAGTTAAACAATCATCGCAAACTGAGAAACAATAGAAATCTGTTTTGTCTTAGTATGGGACTCCCCACCAGTGCGCATCAACAAACCCACACCCGGGAATCAAACCCGAGACCGTCATGTCTCTGAGCGATCTCTTTACCTCCAAACCACTGAGCTGGGATCGGATGATTTACATGTATAACGTCAGTATGTACTGTCTGATACAACCACCTCCCAATACCATTGTTGGGCGTCATACCTGATATAATTGAACATCAGTGTTCATGGCTTCTCACCAGTACTCCAGTAATTGTTCCTGGAAATTTGTAACTAGTACTCAGTACAGGGGGTTTGTGGGGATAGTTGGTCCTTTCTCTGCTCACAGATTGTTCAATTCTGACACAGTTATTATATAGTTGTGCTATTTTATTCCATTTGATGCTAACTCAATTGTTTAAAGATTAATTGTCCGGCACCAGACATAAAAGTTGTGGGTTCGGTTTTCGATGTATGGGGTCGTGGATATACACTCCTGAGGGGTCCCATACCAGGACCAAAGTAGCTATCCAATACTTCATAGTCTCCATTGGTTATCTAATTAAAGCCAGTCCATGATGTAAACTTCAGTAAAGAGGAACTGATGAAGGGCTTTTTAGGTCATATTTGTTATGGGTTGATCATATTTGACGATGGAACTCCTCAGTAGTGCATATTCATTTGTTGTTAAGTTTCATTGTGAATTACATTGGCTAATAAATTGAACAAATTTTTTATGTCAATATGTATGTTTTTGTGGTTGTAAGAATACCAAAACTTATGATGCTTATTATACTTTATTATTATTAGCATAAATCATCTTCAAGGGATACTGATCACTTGTTAGCATAATCTATTGTAATCTATTGGCATTAATTACATAGTGTGAAGTGAATAATGCTAATTAATGAATTGTTTTGAAGTATTTACATTAATTCTTACTAAAATCATTTAAAAAAACCATAAATTGGTTGTCAGTGAATGTTTGTAGTATATAAGCGAAACCTAAAGTAAATGTACAACCTATCATCATTAAACATATTTGCAAATCTATTGTATTAGCATAAGAGATTTATGGATATTGTAGTATTTTCCATAGTTTAAATCACGAACTGGTTTTAGCTAGACCATTGTCGAAAATCATGAAGGACCGGTTTCACGTGCGAATTCCTAATGCCTAAACCATTATTCCCAGCGTCCAATAGTGTATATACCTAATTGATGGTTTCGGGCTCGATTTCCCGTGGTTGGGCCGTGGGTGCGCACTGTTGAGAAGTCTTTTATTAGGACGAAACAGGTATTCATTTCCTAATGATTTTCATTGGTGCTCTAGCTAATATCATATACTTCATTTTCTTCTGATGTTATAAATTGTCTTTGTGTTGACATGTTTTAGTATCATTGATAATTTAGTAAAGACGTTTTGTAGAATTTAAGAAAAAATTTACGTTTAGTAATTAGAATATGAAAAAAATACGCATATCTATATTTAGAAAGATACGATTTAATATTGATCGGACACATTTAACAGTCGATAAGTCACATGGAATATAGAACCTTACACGTATTTAAATCCGTTCAAGTTGCCATACTGTATCAGCACAGAGAAATAACATTATCGAGATAAATGTCAGAGTAGTGGAAGTGTTGATAATATTAGTGATACTGAAAAAGGTCAAGCATCGATAGTATGGTTCGAAAAGAATAAATAAAAAGTTTATGACAATTTTCAAACCCCAATATCTGAGTAAAAACAAAAAGTATGTGGATCTACTACATCGCGACCAATAATTAAACCATAACAACCATTATTTCCAGTCATCAGTCGTAATAACCGTGTAGACCTCGACCAGATAGTTTGCAACTGCCAACATGGCTCAATCTAACTGTTAATGACTTCATTGGTTGATTCTATGTCTTAGTTGATCCACTTCTAGCATTCTTTCAACTTACTGCTATCACTGACAAATATTATGCTTCGATCTAGGTAGTAGTTGGACATACATAATCCATGTTTTAACTATATTTCACTTTTTTAAAAAACATTTTCTTGAAAAGAATACATGCACGTTATTAATCCTTTAAAAAAGGAACTTGTTTGAATATCATCATTTTGATTGAATTGTTTTTATCCTTCATTATTTTTGTTTTCTCCAATTTTAGTTATCGAATGTACAGAAAAAGTCGACAAACTGGATTTCCTGCTTTAATTACAATTTTCTCAGCACCAAATTATTTAGATGTGTATAATAATAAAGGTAAGTTCAGTTAACAATTTTACTAATACCGTAGTGAACAAACCACTTGGTGAGGATCGAATTACAGAGTGCTATCATAAATTATGAAAACTATACATTAAATACATTATTTGCATATCTTCCATGAGTTGTCCTTTACATTCCTCATAATTCCTTCAATTCCGTTGTTTTTGCAATTGCTTTCTGTCCTCTTCATTTCAATCTTCTCAATCCTCTGGCATGCATTCCACCTCCGATTGACATTGCATACTACTTATATCTGTCTAGATAAGTAACATACACCACACTACTGCTACTGTTTAATAAAATTTGAGACTTAAAGCTAATGGTTTGTACAGTCACTTGTTTTCTAATCTCTTGAATCACGTAGATTTATTTAGAGTTGTTCACATTTTACACTGCTGATCATTTGAGTATCATAATCAACATTAAAAAAGTGATTGGTGGGCATTTGATATGACAATACCTTGTGTCTTGATTTGATGCTAGTGTTGAAACTTGTAATCTTCAGGGAACTTATAATATTCCCTTTTAAGATTTGGGCCTACATTATCCAATTTCACAGTCTATGATTATCTCTGACCTATTCAGGCTTGTTTTATGTGAGTTAATCAACTCAACTTTTTATAGTAAGAAATTGAAAAGAATCTAAATTCGAGAAACGATGAATAGAAGAACAACAACAATCATGTCGACATAAAACGACATATCCGATCCACTTTTAAACCTATTAAAAGAAGTTAAACCTTAATAAAAAAAACAGATGAAAGTTGTAAAAGAAACATGTGTAACTGTAAACACGCTCTGTGTACATGTATGCTTTTAATTTGTTTCTGGCATTGTCGTCTTCATTATCATGGTCAACAACAGCACATCATGTTATTTCATATTGTTCTACTTAATTTTTTGTTAGTTAGATCTTCACTAGATGTTTGCTTGTTTGTTTGTATAAACATGTTAGCAACTCAATGAAAAGATGGAAATGTGAAAAGTTTGTTTCGTGTTTGTATGTGTTTAACATTATCAGTGATAAACGAAGTTAATCTGTGAAATTTAATATCCATCTCTTTAAAAATAAGAAAAAAATTTTTTTTCCTCTTTACTTAAAATTTATTTTCACTAAAATAAAATCTTGTTAATCCTCTTGTGTTAAGCTGTAATAATCTAAAGTCATTAGCTTAGTGGATAGTTTATGGCGTTTGAAACAATGATTATTGGACTCAAATCTCGATTTGAACATTAATACTGTGATGCTGTCACATCCGAATAGGCAATTTCGGTCTTTAACTTCAGTTCTACTCACAGTCAAACTTTAATAAAGATTCTTGATTTAAATGTATAATACATTCATAAAACTGTGAACAAGCTTTTAACATATATAGATTTGCTAGTTATCTAATGAATGAAATGAGTGTAATTATAATATCAGTCGTATTAGTCATTACAAATTTGTGCAGGTTATTTACCGACAGTTTGTTTTACTCCATTTACTATCCGACTTATATTTATTATCTTTTAATCTCCCGTTTCAAACACATGCAACTAATCTTAGTGTTCTAGAAAACAGTCAAGTCAAAATTGTGTGTTTAGTTTGAAACTGTGACTATGTTTTGTACTTTGGAATATTAACAATCTGTATGGTGAGATTCAGGAGGCTAATTTCAGCCCATATGGGACATCTCAACAAGACTCATCTATCTTCGTCTCAATGTTGATGTTCATATCAATATTGGGAACTTGTATGCACACCCATTACTTCGAATACCATGTGACTTTATTCACTGTTCTTATTATATTGATATGTAAGTATAAGATTGTGGAGATTGTTGAGTTTTTTTGAAATCATGAGTCGACCAATGTCAGACAAACATTAAAAACCTGGAAGCACTGTACGTCCGTTTCGTCGTAGTATGAATGTCAGCTCAATGGTGTAGAGGTTAAGTGTTTGCTCGAGAGATGAAAGGTCGTGTGTTCGGTTCCCGACGTCGGTGGTCGCGGAGGATGCACACTTTTGTGGAGTCCCATACTAGGACTAAATAACTATCTGGTGCTTCCCGATTTTCAATAGTGGTCTAACATTGATCGACTCATGATATTAATGTGTTATTTCTGATTTGGAACTTTCACTACAAGTAGAATTGATTGCTAATCAGTCTCTATTTTCTGTTCATTAAACTTTGTAGTCATGAATATTTAACTGTCGTTAATAGAAGAAGATATCAGGCTTTGAAGAATCTGATTCATGTCTTCTATGAAGTGTTCGTTCTTTCTATCGTTGTTTGAATTACCCGATTATTAACTGAAGAAAGTACAAGAATATTAGAGAATTTTAAAGTAATAAACAATCAGTAGACAAGTCGATATTGATCAAGTCTATGAATCCGAACAGAACAGCGAATTAATCAGAAGGGTAGAGGTAAACCAATGAAGATAGTCAATGTTAATAAGGCTAAGGAAAATGAAGATGGAAGAACACATGATGATAGTTAAACACAAATAAAGCTATTAAAATGAACTGATATAATATTTGTGAAGTAATTAGAAAAAATCACTTGTACATGAATCAGCCTCCAAAGATATTGTCTAGAATGACAATGAGAGTTTCAGAATTAAACTGTCTAGCTTGAAGATCTCAAAACTTTCAAATTAAAGACTGGTTTTAAGATGTATTTTCTGGAGTTCTAGTGAGAAGCCGTGACCAGTGTTGGGTGTGAGACAGTTATCCATATCAAACACTGGATGTAGAATTGCGCAGCACCATGGATCGATTGGAGTTGGACATTACACGGTTGGATCTCGGCTCAGTGGTTTAGATGTTAATCGTTCTCGCGCGAAACCAAATGTCCTGTGTTTGAGTCTTGTTTGTGGGGTGATGGATGCGCACTGCTGAGAAGTCCTATATATGGACGAAACGGCCGTCTAATGCTTCTAGATTTTCATTGGTGGTCTAGCTTAAAACACCTCATGAGTTCAATTATAAAAGATTATGTATATAAACTAATGGATGATACCAGCTCTACAGTTTAAAGGTTAAACTCTCGCTACATTATTTTAAGATATTTTGCCTGATTTGTGATAAAGTTGTGCTTACTAATTTGTGGACTATTTCATTCTAGGATAAAGTAACTGTTCAATCTCTACTGGTTTATGGTGGATGCTTAAATAGAATTCATTGAGTCGCCTAAATTACAAAATAAACATTTTTTGTAATTCTAAGATGAACTAAATCCAGAAATTTAATAAACTGTTTGTGTACACTATATATCACATTTTGATGCAGTTTTGTTCCCTGAGCTGGATGGTTTGGTCGTGAGGCTTTCATCGTTCTTCTGTACGACATCATTAGCACAAACTTCAGGTAGAAGTGAAGTGTTCGAATTTCTCCATATGCGTTTCACAGGTTGTTCTGTACACCTCGACGTTGATTGGTTCTTATTGAGCTACAAATCTTCTCCACCATCTCATATATCACATTTAATTTGTGAATAGCTAACATTTAAACACTGACATGAATTTACGAAGGTTATATTAATTATAATAGTTTTTATTAGTGTTGAATTTTTCACAACTATAGAATATGAAGAAAGTTTGTGAATATTGTTAAAAGATCACTTCTGACAGATTTCTTATCGTAGTTTGGATTTCTCAGTTATATATTATCTTTCAATAGAATTCCTAATAGGATCTATTACTTGAAATCATAAGAGTAAACATAACATTATTCAAAGATGTGAATACTTGACAGTACTTTAACTTCGATTAATTTTGTTATACGGTGCAGTGATCGTTGAAATGTCTATTAATGTTATCAAATTATTTCCAAATACTTCATAAACGATACTGATGTAAAATGGTTATTGATTAATGATAGTTTTAAGAATTATACTACTTAATAATTGATATATTCTGATGGGTTCTGTTCCACATAATTTGTCTTTCTTAACGTTCATCTATCTTTTGACTCATAAGAATGTTAAAGATATCAGTTACATATTTTTATTTGTTATTAATATATGTTATTTATCGTTTATATAACTAAATATAGTTACATGTCGATTGACTGTAAATCAGTTTTATATATATCTCATTCTTTTTTTTTCACATCTATTAATAGACGTATGTAGACTAACAAAAGCATCATAAGTTTCTTTTTTATTTTTAAACTTCTTTAACATCTTCAATATGAAGGAGACATTGATTTGTTAGTGATTTAATTCTAGATGAATTCCTGAAATTCTGATGAGGAATCGTAACTAGTTAGATTAAGACATATTACATGTGAAGCAGTTCTCTCTAGAGTGGCATTAAGGGGTGATATTCAGTGTAATGAATTTGATTTAATCTGTAAATTTGTAATATTACTCAATAGTCTAGTGGCTATACTTTAAAGGTCCAAGGTTCTGTTCTTGATGTGGTTATGGGTGCATAATACTAAATCTTCTTATTCTAGAATGAAACATCTGTTAGATGTTTCCTGATTTTCAGTGATGCCTCGAATGAAATCAACTAGTCTATAGTAAAACCACCTACGATTTAAAATCGTCATCACAAAAAACCATTTCATCCAAACTATAATTATTGACTATTAACTCATTTACGAGATACTGATTTATATATATATATATATATATATGTATATATATATATATATTTGTTTTTAAGTATGATGAAAACAAGTGACACTATCAATTGCTTCAATCATAGTAGATAGAACTGAGTTCGAATCTACGGTTTAATGGCTTAAAATGTAATACTTTAATCATTAAGTCAACCACTTCTTCATTTAGATTATTTCCAGATATCAATTATTTTCTAGTTGTTTACTAATTTTGTTTGATGTTCATTTGTTTTATTTGATGTTCTCTTTCGAGTGTAGATTTTCAAAATAACACTCCTCTTTTTCTCCCTTAAAAAATAGTTTCTCGTCATATATTTTTAATATTATTTAAATAAAATTAAGATAGCAATCAGTCTCGCGCGCGAGCGCTTGCCCCCTGATAGGTCCTGGGTTCGGATCCTGCGAGGTGGGTCGTGGATGTGCACTTTGGAGGAGTCCCACAATAGGACGAAACGGCCTTCCAGTGCTTCCAGGTATTTTTTTATAGTGGTCTAGTTTCAATTGACTCATGATCTCAACTACTGAAATTACTACAATCTCTACAAAACCCCTTTGGATGATAAATAATTGTTAATTATTTCACAATAAAGACAATTCAATCGGGTATTAATTCATGATAGAAAAAGATTAAATAAAGATCGAATAAAGTTCACACTTTCTCTTAAATGAAAAGAAACCTTTTCAAAGAAAAAGAAAATCTAGTCCTACAAACATTTTGGTAACAATCTAAAATAATTAATGATTTGTTCAATTTCACTGTTCTGTTAGAGATTAACCGGATACATCAACAAAACAAACAAACATTGATACAAAATATTTACTTTTTATAATAAGTATGGAGAGATTTTATTATCAGATAACTATAATAGATAATTGTATTTCATTATTAAACTATGTTATTCATATGTATAAATGATTGGAAATAATACAAAACAGTAATTAACTAACTTTTTTGCTTTAGTTCATGGTTATTTATCCATAGTGCAGTGTAGATCAATCTACTCAGCTAAGCAACAAAAAAATCTCCATTTCACAAAAAACTTAACATCAAACAGAATTGTTTCTGTGAAGTAGAGATTTTTTTGTTTTTGTTTTTGACAGAACTTAATATGACCAATGAGCTTTGTTAATTAATATGTATGTCAGAATAAATTGATAGGAAATCTTGAATCTAGATTTTATGTTAGTTGTTACTTGTCAAGATGCTGTACTAGGAATCCTATTGAAATTCTTAAATTAATTTCTTATCTTTAATGTTAGCATATTTTAAAAGTTACACTTACTGCATTTTGTTTTCTCGTTGTATTTATAAAGTTGAGAGCTAAACAATCTACTGATTCTTTTCTTATCAAGATGATGATTTATTCTTATAGGATGTAATTACTTGTCTATTGATTTAATTTGGTGATTATGTTTCTTTTCTTGATGTATTATTGAACTGAAGACTTGGTAGTGATCTTGGAAACATGTTGTGATATCTTAATTGAATGATTTATTCGTATGAAGCTTTCTAAACATCAGCATCAGCGCATATTGCGACCTATTAGAATTTTACGATAGTCGGTTGAAGTTTTATTCTGCTCACTTGAAATTTTATCAGTTTTTCGTATGATTGTTGTTTGGATGTTTATTCCAAGTGTTTTCTCCCTCTGATCTTGCAGTTGTTGTTTTCTTTTTCTTGCTGTCTTACAGATTAGACGGATTTTGATGTGTCTACTGGTTAGTGCGTATGTGACCAGGGTATCAGGCTTCTGAAAAAATCTAACTTTTTTTATGTTTCCTGTGTTAGGAGAGGAAATGAAATATTCTCTAGAAGGCCAATGAAAGCTTTACATGATTGAGTTATCTAGCTGACAGAACAAAACACCACCAAATTCCTCATTCTGAGATATAAATATTCTCCATCACCTTGTTGCGAATACATTATTCTTGAATCATTGATTCACAGGTTCTAACAGTTCATATTTTACTGACTTCAGTAATAAATTTAAAAATGTAGATAACGTGATCATCATTAAGTATCATCAATTTGTGACCATCTCCATTTTGCAGTTGATATCACGAACTGACCTTAATTAGACAACCTTTGAAAATCAGTAAGCACTGTACAAAGAATATCGATAATCCTATCTGGAATCGATCTCAGGAACTTCAGGCCTTAAGCTTAGTGTTTATTTGATAGTAATTCTTGTTGAAGTAGAAATCGTATCCAAATTAGAGCAACATCCTGCGTTAAATGTCCTCTAAATAGATGTGCCGCTTCCATAAATTTTTTACACCATTAAAAAAAGAAATACTGGAGAATATGTCGTCAAAATCTCTGAAAAAGATTTACTTATCAAAATTCGTAATTGTTTTCTCCATTGAACATCTTATTCAGAAGAATGGTTCACTTCGGTGTTCATTTATCAGTTCACTCTCTGTTTTGGAGGTGTTTAGAAAAATTAATACTTTTAGACAGTTTAAGTAAATTACATTGTAGTGGACGAGAACTTAGGTGGGGAAGACCAATTTATTGTCTAAAACGAAATCACACAGTGGGTTAGTAAAATTTGAAAACCATACATTAAATGCATCATTTCCACATCCTATCTATATTGTCCTTTACACACCCCATTATTCCTCAAATTCTGTTATTATTTCTATTACTCTCCAATTTTCTTTCTATTCTCTTCATTTTAATCTTCTGCTGCCAGGCATTTCAGTTTCTATTGATGCTACATACTACTTTTATTTGTCTGTACAAGTAGCATGCATCACTACATCATTGAATACAAAATTTCTTTGCTTGAACCATCTACTCATTAATCTGTATAAATCAGCATAAATATAGTAAGAAATAATCATACTGTACAATGATTGACTGTTTTATGTGTTATAGATGTAGCCACGATTTTTTTTAGTAATATAAAGTTACTTTAAGGTCAAAGAAGCGGTCACAACAGAATTATTATTTAAGAAGAAAAAAAATATTTACTGACATGAATGAAGATACCTTCGGTTAGTGTTTTGTAGTCACATGATTTATTGACTCTAAATTATTTTGCTTCGTGAACATAAAGTTGTATCTCTTATTTCATAAATTCGCATTCACACACACACAGACTTGTATATGATTGTTTTTTTATTCACATCGTACCATATAACATTCCACATACTTTACTAAATTGAGAATAATTATGCCTGTTTTAAATAGATGTCTCTTTTAATTCACTTGATATTGTTTTACTTGAATCTTCCCATTGATGTTCAGAACTGCAATTGATCAGTCTCTTATTGGCATATGTGCATACTGTGCGTATTGCCTCTATATTTCTTAATTTACAAGCATTATATACAAAGATGGATAGTGGCTAGTAGTGTAATCCAGGACGCGTGTTTATTTATCTTGTCGTTTTAATGAGATATGTCAGCTGAAGTTAACGGATATTTCTACCAGACTCTTATGTTGATTATGATTGATTAAATGATCTTGTGTAGAATTATGCTCATTTATTTATTATCTGGGATATTCTACATTGTGACAAAACGGTCATTTAGTGTTCTATTCCTTTTTAGTATAATTCTCTTATTTAATGAGGGCTAACTTCTGTTGTAACGGGTGGACTGCAGGTTATGATAAGCAGCGTTTATATCGATCGATTCAGTGACACGTAAAACACGTAATGAACGGCCTAGAGTCTCGATTGGTCCCGCTTCCCTGTCTAGCCCAGCCAGTTGAGTCCAGAACGCAAGTCACAGCCTCTGAGTTATGAATCATTATATTTCAGACATACTCTATTTATATACCAAGCAAACAAACCACATCGTACCATAAAATAGAAAACAACATTTACACAATATTTAACGAGTGAAATAAATAATGGCCAATAGGGAATGCCCATTTAGAGTCCAAGGACATCATCAGACTTAACATGATAATGATTGGTATATTCCTCAGCATACCTAACAACTTCAATAATGACAAAAGTGATTTGATATATGTTGGTATATTGGATTTTCGAAAAAAGCGGTTGCTGAACTCATGAACCGATTTAAGTAAGACAACTTTCACCCTAGTATGGTACTGGTACTGCAATTGATCAGTTTCTGTTGGTATATGTGGATCATTGAGTGGATCGTTTTGATATCTCCATTTAGTCACAAGTATTTTAATAAAGTTGGGTAGTGGGAATCGACGGAATCTAAGACGACCATTTCTTGCGATTTAGGGCTTATCAACCGGATGTACTTTTATCCTAGTATATTAATGCCTGGAATGAAACTCAAACCTGGTACCTTTCACCTCAGATGCTCAACTTGTTGTCCACTAAACTACTAAGTCAAAAGAGACATTAACTTGTACAAGAAATGTGAGATTTATTTTTAAGGGTTTGTATTTTGCTCACGTTGGTTTCTGTCTGATCTGCGTAGCTCAACAGATAACACTAGGCGTTTGAAGTTAAAGGCAATGGGTTCAAGCCTTAAAATGGACATCGACACACTTTGATACAGGTGTACGTTCAACTGACGAGTTCCAACTTAGGAGAAACCGTCATCATTTATTCCAGTCCAAACTACTATCTAACTTTACCAAGACATCGTTGTATACTACTATAGCTTAGTGATTACATTTGCTTATTTTTGTAAATTATTTGTTTCTTTCTAAATATTTTTTTCCTTAATTGAGTGTTTTATTTTACAATAACACTTGAAATCTCGTGTTTTTTGGAATTTGTTTTTCTCCCATATTTCTATCTACTATTCTTTATTTACTTATGCTGTGACTAATTTTCCCTTAGCTTTATTGATTTGTTATGTTTTGTTTTCTTTTTTTGGTCAATTCGCTGACCAACCAACCGATGGAATGATTGGTTACTAAATTGATAATTTTTGTTAAATGTTTTTTTTAGCCGCTATATTAAAATATGAAAATAATGTAATGAATATACGTCAGTTTAACTGTTCACCACATCCATATTGGCTACCGAATTTCATGGATGTATTTACTTGGTCATTACCATTTGTTGGTGAAAAAGGTAGGTGATGATGTTTGTTTATTTAAATAAAAGAAAAGTATGTCTATAATGTTTTTATAAAATGAATTGGTGAGGTTGAAGTAAAAACTGCTTACTCTTATGTTTATATATGTAGAAGATGTAAAAATTGAAAGAGTTGTGCGGAACTTGATTTCGTTATTTCCAGAAAGAGTTGGTCAAAGTAAATAACTGATTAGTTAAACAGAAAGAATCATAGTTCAACTAAGTATACTGGTGCTAATAATAACAATCAGTGTTAAACATATACTCATAAAAAGAATCAACTATGCAACTGATCATCAAAACACAGTACAGTCCACCTATAGTCAAGATTGTATATGGAATGAGCGATTTACTTTTATACGTAATAATTACAGTTATATAATGACAGTTTAAATACATGAATAAAATGAAACTATTTGTTTTAATTATTCATGAAAACAATGAGTAAGAAATTGTAGGATAGTACTACTGATGAGTAATATAACTCATTTACTAAGTATCATAAAGAATAGTGATATTAGTTAAACTTTACAGGTTTTTTAATATGACATAACTTAGTTCGATTGTTTTTACTGTGATTTAATGGTTAATATCAGAATAGGTTTTGTGGAGATTTTCGAAATTTCACTGGTTGAAATCATGAGTCAGTTGAAGCTAGAGCACCACTATGAAAAAGCTGGAAGTACTGGATGGCCGTTTCATCTTAGTATGGGACTCCTCAGCAGTGCGCATCCACGATCCTGCCCCCCGCGAGATTCGAACCCAGGACCTATCAGTCTCGCACCAGGCGCTTAAGCAACTAGATCGCTGAGCCGGCATCCAACGGTGTTATTGTCTAACTTCAATCAATCCACAGAGTTGCGCCACCGTACACCATTGTCTTCAGTGAGTTACTATCTCACAACAGACCTAGTTGAACTCCACTGGTAACGGCTTCTCACTAGAACTCGAGGAGTATCTCTTGAAGTCAGTCACTAGTGAGCAGGTGGATGCGCACTGCTGAGGAGTCCCATACTAGGACGAAACGGCCGTCCAGTGCCTTCAGGTTTTCCATGGTGGTCTAGCTTCAATTGACTCATGATTTCAACCAGTGAAATTTAATGGTTAATTTTTTCGATTTCATCCACTAAGTTACAGTTCCGAATCCTATTCTATTTAATTCCATTTGAGCAACTAATTAATATTATTAATAGCTCACACATTTAACGGATGACTTAAAGTGTACTCCATGAATTTCTATTAGATAAATGAATAATGAAAGAAGAAAAAAATCATTTGTGATTAAAATGCTATTGAATTTGGTCAACATCTTCGATGTGATCGAAAAAATAGATTTATCTCCAAGCGTAGTAAAACACTTTCTTTCCAGTCTTTGTTTGTTTATTTTCTTTTCCATAATCAGTTATTATCATGATCGAGAATAATCAGTTTTATTCCAATTAAATTGTTGTGTATATGTGTGTTTTACATTGTTAATTTCCTCTTTTTTCCCTTCTTTTTGTTCCTTTAAATTTTCATTACCTTTCTGTTCTTAATTATGGTCAACAAAAATCCCGGTTTTATAGAAAGAAGAAAAAAAAACAGAGATAAAAATGATAATAAAAGCAAAACGTTTTTAGAGCTTAATTTTTATTCTTTCATTTTATCATAATTAAGGTTTTTCTTTAAATGACGGTATATTATTATAACTTTTGTTATTATTATTATTGGTAGAAGTAGAAAAGAATGAACTTATTTCAATGTTTGTTTGTGTTAAATCGTTGTAACAAGGATTACATCGTCGTGATCTCCGGTTTTCCCACGATACTTGTAAATTAAGAAATGATTGAACTAGTCTAATCAAAAATTAATTCTCTCATGGATTCGACAATGACAGCTGGTACATAACACTTAATAATTAGCATTTAATCCAGGAAAAGGTGAAGTATAGGAAAATTTGTCATTAAAGCAGTTAAATTGAGAAGGTACAACTTAGTATATATATAGTAATGGGGGGTTGACCTTGAATGACGCCGAAAATTGGCTGAATCAACATAGTGATTATCAATCCGAAAAGAGTAAGGTCATGAAAAAACTTGCATTAATTAAAAGGAATCATTTATTATCGTTTTTGTTAAGACTTTACCACTATTGACAGAAGTTAAGTAATAAGCAGCTTGTTTGTTACTTCGTAAATAAATTAAGTTGATAAAGGTTTTAAAATGAAAAAAAAATTATTCACTTCTCGTCCCAAATGATAGTTAAATAGCCTTAAAGATTGTTGTTGATGATGATTATGATGATAACGACATTTATCTTCGTTTACTTCAACATAAAGGTGTCATTTAAAACGGGCGGATATCAATAAAGACGATCATCAAAATGACACAAATGAAATGATTAGTCATTCATTTTAAAATGACTATACTTGGGTATTGAGTACAATCTCAAGTGACAGAAAGTGTGCAGTTTATAAACCTGATTATTATTTATTAATTTTAGCTATAGTATGATTGCAGATAAAATAATTTAATAGTTACAATTGTTCAATCATTCAGTAGTGACCAGTGTCATGTGCCAATCGAATTCTGTCGATTGAATCCCAATGTAACGACTAACCTAGGTGACCCAACAGCGCATGGACTTTGTTGGGATGGTGAGCGATTAGAGGTAACCAAAAGGCAACGTAGTTTCAGGGTTTTCTGTTGACTAATTTTAATCATTTAACATCTCGCATTAGTGTCTATTCCTATTACGATAAACTAGTTGAGTAGATTTCAAGATGATACAGAATGTTTTTAAAAGAAACAAATTGCGCTCTACATTATACTTTTAATGGCTTATTGGGATGCTATTAGTAAGCATCAAAAGTACTAAGACAGTTGATCTTTTGATAGTTATTGAGTATACTGTATGAAAAGGGAATGAGAGTGAAAAAGAAAATTTTATAAAACGCTTTACTAACATTATTCTGACTTCCAATCATCAACTGCCAAAGCTTCTTCAGTGTAATGTACGTTAAAGTGTAAATCAGATGGAATCTTTCAATTGAACACTACAAATGATATAAAAAAAACAGAACATTCTTGCAAAATAAAATGACCTAATTTCTCTGCATCACCTATTGATTATACCTATACACATAGGTGCTCCTGAATGTGATAAACAGCTTACTTGCTTAGTTGTACAAAAATTTGTTTCTATCTTATTAATTTTATTATAAATATTGTTTTGTATTTGGAATTCTTGATCAACATTCGTATTGGATCTCTTTTGTAACAATCTTTAAATTGTTGACATTTACATCAAATCTATTTACCGTAATGATCAGATATGCGTATCAAATGTGAAACCTTCTAATCTTTCTACGGGTTTCTAACCCTCAGACCAAGAGGCCTTCAGGTCCTGATTTCTATCTCTGGTGACTTTATAAATTCGCACTGTTGACAAATCTATATTCTCACGAAACTGCTGCCCTATGATTCTTAATTTTCATTGTTTTTTCTAGTCGAGGTCTGTTTGCACTGTGCGCTTGTAAAATTCAATAATTTCCTCAACCCTATATATATATATATGCCAAAGTTTTAATGTTCCTTAAAATAATGGTTATGTATAAGAAGCATAACCATCCAGTCTTTAAGAATAACGTTAATAGATCAAGTGATCTATGTTGGTCTTTAGATGATTATAGACACAGTCTGTAAAAGGGTACTTTTACATTACTTTTCAGGATAACTAGACACCATTCAGGCTTTCTACAATCTGAATATAGCATAGCTCAATCATGTGATGCATCTGTACATTTATCAAGAACACTTGAAGATGATTGTTCTTTAGTGGTGGTTGAAGTTCAGTACTATAAGTCGATCAGTTAGTTACATATTTAAAAAATGTTTTATTTACAAGAGTTGATAATTCTACCCTGCCTTATTTCCTCTTCCCTGTACCTAATATGTTGGTAGTTTCACTAACACCATGTTTTCGTTCTACTCTCTATATGGTATCATGTTTAGTTTGGTGATTCCAACCCTTTCATACAATCAGCGTAATCATCATCAACGATTATTGATTTGTTTGTGCACACTGTTTAATTATTTTTTGAAAAAATAACTGGGAACAAACATCCTTTCACCATTGAATCCACTTTATTTATGTTACTTGATAATCTAAATAGGATAGCGTCGTATCTGCTACTTCGTCTCTCCCTAAATTGTATCCTATACTCTTTCCTATCTCTCCTTATCTCCTCAATGTCCTTCACACACTGCATGGCTGTCTCTTGTTGTTCTCAATCTCCTAATGCTATTATTTTCCAACTGGTAGAGACTGGATTGGTGGATGTTGGTGGTGTGCATGTGTGTTTCCTCTTAACTAAACAATTAGAAACTGCTTTTATACTAATAATTTCAAAATTCTGTTCATATTTTGCCTAATATTACTTTCACACTGTTGATATCGTCGAGATGATGATGACCAAATGTTTTTACCACATTCACTCAGTCTACTCACATTAGTCCCACTTGTTTACGTTACATATTAATAATTATAGTAAAAACAATAATAATAATTCCGAACAAAGATTGATCTTCCTTTTTCTCAGCTTCGTTTGCTACTCTTTCCTGAATAGTTCTCTTTACTTATGTCATTATCCTGTTCGTGTTGTGTTGTGTCTTTGCCGCTTGTCACTTGTTCACCTCGCCTTCCTTGTTGTTGCCTTTTTTTCCATTTATATGCATCATTGTTTCCATTGGTCGCCTATCTTCGGTGGTGATACACACACAAAAATAAACTGATGATGATGGATTTCGTTTTGTTATTGTTTTCGTTGTTATTACACTTTGACAGCTTACATTTACATCGTCAATATCTTACTTGTTATCAATTGCTTTTCAAATGTTATTTTCTCTGTATTTTCTTTTAAAAAAATATCGCTGCGATATAATTCTTCGTAACATTAGAATGTACGTTGTGTTTACTAAGTGTGTGGGGGGAATACAACCCATATATATGCGTGTCTCAATATATTTCCTTACTGATTATGTGATTTATCTACATGAGTACTCTCTCCCTTTCACGCTCACTTTTGTGTTCTCCATCTTTGTTGACTTCTTTCCTACAGTGTACTTTTGTTCTGTGTATATGTGTGTTCGTGACGATATTTAAAAACGAGAATTAATTCATTATTATTAATGAACAGAGAATTTAGTTTTTTTCCGCTCAATTTGTTATTGTTGTAAATATTTTAACTCGTTTTGACATGAGAATTAAAATGTTTCCTCTTTCAGTTGTTCACTCTCTGTTTCTCATCCTTTCTCTCTCACTCTCCCTCTCTTTTCTGATTTATGAATGAGATGAGGTAAATGGAACACAAATATAAAATGTGTGTACATTATTTTTTGAGGGAAAAACAGGTTTACTAACTAACTACATATCAATTATAAATATGTAAACGTTATATTGTTTTAGGTTTTACAAGTAGAAATTAATTTTTATTGTTTTGTTTTTCCCAAAAAAATAGTAGAATTATTCAGTCATATTACAATAATTTCATAATTTGCAGTAATTTATGGTAAATTTGTCGCATAGATGGGGAGGAGGGCTGGTTGCATTGTGTTCTCTGAGATAAATGGTTTAGTTCCAAGACTTTCATTGTCATTCCTGGCAACAAAATTATCAGAACTTACTTCACGTAGAAATTGTAAATATCAATTGAAATTGTAAATATAAACAATTTTTTTGTGATTTAATAGTAGTAGTTCAATGATTATGTCATGTTTATAACGTGACGTGAATAGATCAATATCTTACTTTGAAGTCCTTGTTGATCATTGAATGGTGCATACTTTTTAAGTGTTGGAGTTGTTAAAACACTAAACTGAAAAGACTATCCTTCAATATTCTTTAATTGTGTTTATAAGTTTCATAATGTAAAATAACTCTCAACTTTGAACAGCCTTTATAAATCCTTTGAATTTAAGACTGTCATAACTTCTTGAATACAGCTAAACTATGGCTATGCTCATTTATCAGTTACATGTTTATGTATTTGGCTATGAGATCAACTCTGATTGGAAGGGTTTATAATACTACCTGGTTGCCTAGTCAGTCAACAACGTAGAACTTCATACGTACCTACATCGGTTCGGGTTGACATACCACATACCGTACCTGGTTGCCCAGACTGAAATATGTAAGACGGGGTTAAGATCTGCATCATAGTGGTTGAAATTGAACACCTCAACCTCAGAGTCACCATTTTATCCATTAATAACGATGTGAATGTGAGCACCAACTTTATGTTAAACTGAATTATTTGTTCAGTTCAAGAACATATCTAAATGATAAATTGACACTTCAATGATATTTGTTTCGTTTTAATGTAAAAATCTTTATCATTATCAATGAACATACTCTCGATTTTTTTTATCTAATGTCTTGTTCTAATAGAACAGTGTTTGTTTCTATATTAAATGAAAAAAGTTTGGGATTTTTAAGATATTTTATTTTCTGAGCTGAACGGTTTAATTGTGTAATACATTTACTGTTTGGAAACGAGAGAACGTAGTCATAATGAAAACTTCCTCAATAGTACAATATACACTACTAAACTATACAGCTCAGAGAAAAAAGACATCTGTAAAATTCGCATGTGGGTCTTGTAAATGTTTATCCTCATCTCGGGGTTGATGATTCTCATTTCTGCATATAACCACATTTTTCCTCTCAAATTTGTGTTAATCATTTTATTACATTGAGTCTCTCTTCATGACAAACTGTGAGGAATTCGCATTCCTTTTTTCTTCTTTGGAATAAGCGTTTATCTCTAAAAAAAAGCATGCCATCACTGAACATTGAATTGTTTGTCACTTGTAAATAATTGATTAATAAAAAATAATGTTGAGTTCTATATGGGAAGAAATGTCCTTCTTTGATCTTACTGCCAGCTATTGTTTGTCTGCTTTACAAAATATTGTGGTTATAAATTTTTTTCGAGTAATATTTTCACATTTCTAATTTGTATGACTATGTAGTAGAGCATTTCATAAATAATCAACAACAAAAAAAACTAGCGAGCACTGATTCAACAGTTATTTCGTTGTAGTGTGGATTTATTGGACAGTGCGTGGGCCTACAATAATATGTTCACAGCTGTGTTCGATCCATATTGTTTAAGATTTTAAGATTACTATGACTTATTTATAATATGATACCCCTTTTTACTGTACGTGGGCTCCAGGATCTTAATAGAACAAATGGCGTATGAACCAATTATTGGTCAGCGGCTACCATGGGATTGCATCTCCTTACGTTACTTCACTGTCTTATGGATTAGACCCTTATGTCAAACGCTCGGGGTGTGGTCCCCTAAGAAAACCACCTGTTTCGGTTTGGGCACCTAGGCGGTATTCCAGCCCTCACACAAATCGAATGATTTATGTGGTGCATATCTATTTGGTGCCTCCTTGTACCAATGTTTATGTGTCAAATAAATAAAACTTCGTAATGCAAACTCTTGATCGCGTTGTTTTCTCTTAGCTGGATGATGTGATTTTAAACCTTTGGTTGTCTTCTAGAAGATACTATCAGCTTCTTTTTAACATAGAAATGAGCTTTTCAGTTCATTCTGATAATCTTGTCTGTGATTAGTTGTCCTTCATTTGTTTTTGAATTTTGTTGTGATGGGTGCTGTCCGAGATCTGATAGTAATACACAACGTGCTACACGTTCACTGACTAGCTGAACGATATGTCAAGAGTAGAACAGAAAGTCTATTGAGCTACAGAATAATATATATATATATTTTTCTACCCTTAGACAATCAATTCATTTCCTAACCAATGATATGCGTTTGTCCTTCAGGTCATTTCTGTTTGTCATCGAGTGACCCTCTGGTTTAGCTACTTCTGATTGGCTCATCATACCAGATTCCTGTTGATGATCCTTTATGGTCGATCTCTAACTATTTATTCGATTAACCCCTTCCTTATAGATTGATGGACTGGATTTTTGTTGGGGTATCTTTTGATTGCCAATTGATCTGGTTATCGGGTTTTTAGAAATTCTCTGGGATTCCTAGAATTCCTTAGATTCAGATTTTTGGTGTTTCTTCAATCAAATTCATGTCCATGATTTGCCGTCTAAATAGAGAAATCTCAATTATGTTATTTGACTCAGAGAATACATCACCAAAAATATTATTAATCCACTTGATCTGTAAATTCTCTTTATCATTGGATTGTTGAAAACTATTTTCATATAAATTAAGTTAATAGAACTACCATTTTATTTATTAAATTGTATTATTTAGTTACCGAAATGTTGGTCAATGTACTTAATATATGTTCAGATGATGAACTGCTATCGGACACACCAGAAGATGAATGTAAGTGTATATATATATTGAGTGGATTACTTTCATTTTTTTATTTCTTCAGTTGGAGATCACTACTTAGACAGTTTTAAAGAACTACTTGATGGTTAGATGACAGTCTTAAGTTTCATGTTGAAACGAACTTTGATATCTTTAATCTTGTTGTAGCCTAATGCTTTCTGAGCAATTTCAGCGCTTGGCGCTCATTAATTTAGTCAAATACGTGAACATCAAGTTATATAAGGATGTGACGGAAATCCTGTTGAATCTGGAATTTCCTCTTTGATTAACTATTTTTGTTACTCAAGGATCAATCAGTATGGGATTAGTGGAAGTAACATTAACAGTAATAAAGAGGAGTATACTAGTAGTCTATTGACCTCCGGTTAAAATCCAATCCAAACTGAAGCTTTATTCTAATTGAAATCATAGTTTTCCCTTAGAGGCAGTTACGTTTATGGATAAAAATGCTTTCCTGAAAAGGCTAAATACTTTAAGAAATTAAATATTTGAAGACCAGGAAACATTGTACAGGTGTATTTCTAAAACACGGAACTCTTCATCAATTCGCATCCATAAAGGTACTTGGAGTTGATCTCCAGGACCTCACAGGTGTTGTGTCAAAATTCGATTATCTCTGTAGGCCGTTTATGCTGATAATAACCATCTGGTCATTAGTGAGTGATTTAAAGGGGTAACTGTTGGAGTTCTGTTGAAAAACTATAACCATGGAGTTTTGCCATGTCGGATGTGGGCTAGTTATCCATCAATGTCATTAGAAGATAGACACGCAATATCATAATCTGATCGAATTTAGAAGTGTGAACTATTAGATCTTAACTCATTATTTTAAAGCTCAGATGCTCATCACAATTCCTGAAGGAACTCTGGTTCGATCCCACCTAGTGAATCTATGGGTGTATAATGTTAAGAGGGGTCTAATAATAAGAAAAAGACTGTCCATTACTTCCTGGATTTCTTAATGGCTGTCTCACTGAAACCAGTCTGTGACGTAAAAGTAAAATTTGATAATCTCCACAAACATTCTGTACTGATTTCCGAATATTATCGACTATGATCCAAACAACCCTGTGATAATGTCTGACACTATATGATGTGTTTAAATCCTAGAAGAAGTATTAGCGCTGATGAGAGGGAATGTTAACTAACATAAAATCTAGATTCAGAACAATCTGGGAATCGCATCCATTTTAGTGAATCAGTGATAGAGTTCAGTACCTTCAACTTCCAGTCATTACAGTTGAAGATTTGAATTTTATTTTACCCATTTCGGACTGACAATCGAGTGAGATCACTAATCCATACGTTTAGAATATGTCTTGATACCAAATATGTACCTGATGATAATTGAGTTATTTACCTTATCACTGTCTAACATAATAGCCAGTTGTTTAGTATGACATCAAATGAATTAACCTAAGCATTATCACAAAAGTTATATAATGATCGAGATTAATTTGTCTGTCTATCGATAATAATAATAATAATAATAATAATAATAATAATAATAATAGTGGTAATAATGTTAAAAAGAACCGACAGCATGAAAGGAAACAATTACATGTTTTATAAACTAGCTAGCTGGCTGTCTTTTTTTCCCCAATTTGCACTGTAGATGATGTAAGTTGCTTTTCTAAGTTACATGTCTTTAGATTGGACATTTTAAAGAGTCATATATAACCGTTTCTTCTTCTTCTTCTTCATATTTTTTACACACAATATGTTTATTGATTTATTTATCTTCATAATAAACAATATCCTTACAAAAAAAGATACCTATTCGCAATCCCATATATGATTATCACTATTTTTAGTGTTTCTTTAATAAAAATCAGCTAAAACGTTTGATATTAGTCTAAAGAGTTTGTTAAGTTCCATGGTTTACATCACGAATCGATCTTAGTTAGATAACCATTGAAAATAAGGAATTACTTGACATCTTTTTAATCACCGGTTCGGAGTCCTATTGACGAACCGGGATCAGTGGAGTTCAATGGCATTGAAAGATAGGCGCAAAATGTCACGAAGTGTTTGAAGTCAGAAATATAGTTCGGTAGTCTAAAGGTTTAACTCTCACGCGAAACTTGAAGGTCCTTGATCCTATACCTAGTATGGTATTGGATGCTCACTGCCGAAGATTTCCATACTAGAACGAAATAGCTTCCCAGTTTTTTCGGTTATCTAACTTTGGTTAGTTCAGGATTTCAGCAACATTCTACATTTTATGTAATTAAAGTTTATGATCACTTGTCGTTTCGTATTGCACATTATGTTAGACGGTCGTTTGACCAGTGAGATACATTATTCATTGACGGCTTCAATCATCAATTACACCTAATAATTTTATCAACTGACTTATTTGCTTTGATTATTCTTTATAAACTGAACTTAATTATTATCATGAACACTCAGTATTGTTCTGAAGTTTCATTTCATTTCAGACATATTTTCTTAATGTAATGGCAAAAACATCTTTTCTGCAAATGTATTATCGTCCTAATAGATTTTTTTCAATACAGGACTGTTTCTCACTGTGATGTAGTTAAAAATAAACCGTTTCATATTCATCATTACGTTTAATTGTAATTTCACTACAGATTGAATAGAAACCTTTGACCAGTCATTATTCATTAAAAACTATTAACTTAGAAATAAAAACATTTATTGATTTTATCTCTATAACTAGGAAGCATTGGACAGTTGTTTCGTTAGCTGTACGGATCCATGAATCTAACAAAGATCGATGCTAGAAATTTCGATCTCTTTTATTTACGCTCAACAACTATCAGTTATTTTGAAGCTTATGAACGGACGGAGAACAGTTGTAAACTATTCTTTGATCACACTTATTAATAATAGGTCCTGTGTTCGAATTTCGCGGGGGTGGGATCGTGCATGCGCACTGCTGAGGAGTCCCATACTGGGCAAAACTGCCGTCCAGTGCTTCCAGGTTTTCCATGGTGGTCTAGATTCAATTGACTCATAATTTCAACTAGTGAAATTAATGATAATTGTCTAGTTTAATTGCTGTTATTATTATTATTATTCTAAATCACATCAACTTCACAATGTAAATATTTATTTATATAAACACAAATGTTAGCAAAAGGGGACACCAAATATATGTACTTCACACTTCATCATTCAATCTGTGTGAGGGCTGGGATACTGCTTGGACTCCTAAACCTAAATAGATGGTTTTCTCAGGGTGTCACTACTCAAATATTTCTTTACGTTTGTTCGTTTCTTTTTTTTGGGGATGAAAAGTAATTTCTTTCTCATTTTCAATTCTTCACTATAGCACAAATCACAGCGCGTAAAGATGTTATCAGGAATAAAATTCGAGCAATTGGTAAAATGGCTCGTGTATTCACTGTGTTAAGGTTAGTTTCCCTAGTCATGTATGTGTAACAAATTTCCAATAATATTTACATGTTTTCATAAAAACTAAACTGAAATTACTATTAGTCAATAATGAAATATAATTTAGGGGAATAGAAAAGTAATGTTGTGTACAATTTGTTAGGATCTTTTCTCTGTTTTTTCCATAGTGTTTGTATTTGTTTCTGTGTTTTCCTTCTTTTGTTGTTTGTATTTAAGATTAGATGTCAGTCAATTTGTTATTTGATTAGATTGATATCTTGTTTGGTAAATAACTTGAATAAATTATTCAATTCAATGTGACTTATTTCATTAGTTCTTTGACATTTCATCAGTCATCAAAATTTTTTCTTCAATATATATAATTGGATGTTTGGTGGTGGTGGACATTAGTTTGTCAGGAAGTTCTGTTTGACTTATGTTTCGTATTAGTAGTTAGAACTTCTCACCAGGGTATACTTGGAATCTGACATGAGCTGATACTCCTTATGCAATTAGAACGTGCGTGGCCTAGCTTTGAGACAGCCCTGTTAAACAGTTTGGGGTGTTGTAGTGGACACAACTCACAAGATTGCCTGTAAGTAGTATGTTGCAGAACGTGGCCTCGAAGTTGTCGAATGGAGTGAATGGTTTTAGTACAGTGAAAGCACAACATTGGCAAAACACTTGAAGGTCAGATGAGAAAACTGCAGATTCCAGAACAAATTAGAAAATACACACGGATTATTGAGGGCTATATATGTATATTATGTAAATACCTTATCACTTCTCACAATACATATACATTGTTTGAGCTTATTGCCTTCTTGTACACTGTGACTGACCACCTCCTGTAAGACTGTTGCAATTACAGTTGCTAGTGGGTACATTACAATTTGGTCGATTAAATTTGATCAACAATAAGCACTTTATGAGGATGATAATATTCGTTACTACCCGGTTATCAATTAGTGTAAATGTAGATGTAACTGTCAAATTGTCGTTTTCATAATTTAAATTACGAAATGACCTTATCTACACCACCAATGAAAGCCAGAAAAAACTGTACATCTATTTCATCGTAGTATGAGAATCATCAGCAAATTTATTGAAGTTAAACATATACACCATGGGGTGCCGGTTTACTGGTTTATAGGTTAAGTAATATCTTGTGAAACTGAAGATCCTGGTGTTGGTTCCTTTTGGTGAAATCATGCATTTGAAATTCTGAGGATTTTAAAATGAAATAGCAACTGTCCAGTATTTCCTGGCTTCCAATATTGGTTTAACTAAGATCAATTCGTGACTATGAAAATTATGTAATCTACACATAATCCTCTATACTTAATTGTCTTTTTATTATATGTTGCATCAAAGATACCGTTTTTATCATGTCGCAGTTGTATGTTCTCCATTTTTATTTAGTTTACATTTTCACAAGGTTATTACTGATTGTTACTATTCTGTCCGTATATTCAACTGTGTGATAATCGTATACAAATGGATTTTATTACTTCATAGTCATTTATGTAAAACAAAATTGCATTATTCTTTTTACTAATATTGTTGTAATTTATTTTCAGAGAGGAGAGTGAAACTATACTTGAACTCAAAGGACTTACTCCAACTGGTATGCTTCCATTAGGAGCATTAGCCGGTGGTCGAGAAGCTATCAAAGGTAAATATAGTTGTAATGTTGTTATTTATTGTTTTATTGGAATTATTATTATTATTTGGTGTTATCTACTACTTTACTGCAATTAGTCACTGTCTAAAACATTATGTTTTTCCAGCTCTCAGATATATTACCGTTTAGCATTTTACGTCCCTACTCAGTTTGTTGCGGTATTTCTTTCATTTATCTGTACACATGTACAAAGTGTAGCTTCAAGCCGTACGTACATTAACCTACTAGGTTGTTACTGGCAGTTGACAGGAACCCCTATTTGACGTAGGTTTAGTACTTGCCAAAAAGAGGAACTTTTGATCTGAAAGAATTGGTACTTCACGTGAGATTCGAATCTGTATTATTTGCACACTTGTTTAATGAATGAAATTAACGTAAAGCTAATAAATTAGTAGTTATTTAGCACTGGGTCATACTTTAATTCTCACTGTTGCATTTGCGAGTCGATCTAAGATAGATCATCATTGAAAACCTGGAAGGACTGGACGCTATCATCCACGACCCTACATGTGGAATCGAACCCACGACCTTCAATCTTCCAAAGTTAATGGAGGGTGACTGTCTCACATCTGACTGAATTGATCCCTATCTGTTATGACTTCGTTCTACAACTTCGGGAATTACACCTTCAAATAATCTTATATGTATTGTTTCATTCCCTTAGCAATTAAGCTTTTATATATATATATATATATATATATATATATATATATATATATATATATATATATATATATATAGTAGTTAATAGATTTTTTTCGGGCTGTTTTATTGATCCAATTAGATTAAATCCGTAAACGAGGATTTTGTTCAGTTATTTATAATCTAGTTCAGTTTGTTCTATTCTGTGTCATTCTATTACTCTGTTTTTAACATTTTTGTATAAGTGTTTGTGTGCATGTGTGTTTGGATCAGGATTTATGTTTGAATTGTCGCTATCGTTTTCTGTAAACCTGTAGAGAAGATGCCATACGGCGCTCGATGTTTACAGATAGTTAGATAGGTAGATATAAACGTAACGCGGGGGAAAGACAAACAATTATAACAATAACACCAGGAGTAACAAAGATAATAACAACGACAAAACGCGAAACAATCGAGGCTTTTTGTGTTTGTGTTTTGTTTTACTTTAATGTATGTTCCTTCATGGGAAATTGATTAAAACTTGTTATATTCTGTTCCTGATCAACAATGTGTTATATACTTTCATTGTTATTAAAAGGACAGACGAATAAATAGACAAATAAATAAACAACAATCGATTGATAAATGTGATAATTTAAATCACGTTTTATAATATATTTGAATGGCATGTATTCAATCTCTGGTGGGATCATAGATGCCTACTCTTGCGGAATCTCATACTGGAACCTTGAGCGAGACCAACCTCTTGTGAATACAGCCCATAAAAATACATAACGTTTTATGGAAGTAATGAGGAATGAAGGGCAGAATTTTTAAGAAGATAGGAACAGATAGTGTCCAGAAGGAAAGAACAAAGTTAATCCTGTCTTTTTTACATTCAAGCCTTTCTTTTTAAATAATTTAAGCATTAATTTCTAATTTTTTCCACTATTGTACTTTGCATGTATTCTTCTTCTTATTGATTTTTCCCAATCATGATGTATATCATTATTGATTGATCGTTGAGTAGTGACTAATGTCACGTTTGTTTGGTTCTTTTGATTGCTGGTAAAATCCTATCGACCTAGTTGCAGTGTGATCACCTTCAGTCTAAGTGACTTGAAATCACGCGCACTATTTCTTGATATTAACCTATTGATTTATTTGAACACGTAAGTAGTAGCACAAAAGAGAAACCAAATATATGTGTCGCAAAATAGTCATCATCCTGGAGCCCACGTAGATCACTGAATTGTAATCAGGGTCTTCCAGCTCCTCGAGGTAGATCTTCCGTACCCATCCCGCAAAATGGTGCATGGAAGACAACTGGCAGATGCATTTCAAGTGAGGACAGGAGTCAGACAAGGGTGCTCACTTTCTCTCTTTCCCTTTCTGCTGGTGGTTGACTGAATTATAAAGACCTCGATATTTGAGGGAGAAGCACGGAATACAAGGAACAGCTTGTATAGAGCTAGACGATTTGGACTTCGTAAAAGACCTAGTCTTTCTATCCCATACACACGAACAAATGCAGGTGAAGCCAACTGCTGTGGTAGAAACCTCTGCATCATTAGACCTTGACTTACACAAAGGATAAAGCATGATCCTGAAATACAACGCAGAGAACACCAGCCCAATCACACTTGATAAGGAAGCTCTGGAAGAGGTGGAATCTTTCATCATCGATGAACGAGGAGGATCTGATGGAGAGGATATAAGTATTTCTAAACAATTTTGTATGGAAGATATTGAATATACATTGGCTGGATACCATTAGCAACAGCCTACTGTGGAAGAGAACAAACCAACTTCTGGCTGAAGAGGAAGTTAGGAAAAGACGTTAGAAATGGAGAAGACACACGTTGAGGCAATCACCAAACTGCACCACGAAGTAAGCCCTAGCTTGTAATCTTGGAGGGAAACGGAAAAGAGGAAGACCAAAGAACACACTGCGTCGGGAATCGGAAGCAGATATGAAAAAATGAATAGCAACTGAAAAGAACTGGGAAGGATAGAGCTAGATAGAGAATGCTAGTGAGCGGTTTATGCTCTTCCACTAGGGGTAACAGAAGTAATTAGGTAAGCAACCCTGTTAAATCCCCCGTTGGACATTCGCTCAATTTTATAAATAACACCCTTGCTACGAAAAGGCAATGAGTAAAGCTTCCACGACATTAGCTATATACGCGTGGCCATATAAAAGCATTTCGATAGGAAAAGCAGACCATCCTCACCCTTGACCGTACCAGGATATTTAGAGTCAGTGACATTAGTTGTTTGGAGGTAGTCGTTTTGAAACTTTATTTGACGTAAGTTTCGTGCTAGTCGAGGCTCATCAGTGTGGCTTACTTGTAAAGGGTGTTAAAATTTGCCTTATTTATCACTTCAAAGTTAAGTGATTTTGTTACATGAAATTGTGAATATATTTACTGAATTATACGAATCATTTTGCCACAAGCACTATCGATACTAATCATGATAATAACTACAGATTAAGATACGCTCATAGTTTCAAAAATAGGATGTAAAGTCAAAACACTCAATCCTTACTGTATTACGAATACATTTTCATATGTGATCCCAGAGTCAATAATTTTATGAAGAAATGTAAAAAAAGCCCATAAGCACCTAAAATACGTTTGAATAATCAATCCCTGTAAGAGTAAACTCGATAAATCAATATCTGTTAGTTTCTATACTGATATAAAAAAAAAAAACAAACGATTACATTTTCAAGCATTAAAAAAAAAAATCTCTACATTGATGTACAACTTCAATCATATTACTGATCTCTGTTCATTGTCAATAGTTCGAAATTCGTATAATCTTTTTTAAAATTATATGAATTAGATTCATATTTCAATGTTTTTGTTTCGGATCTTACTCTTCAACTTACTTATTTTCATTTGGACAGAGTCATATAACTTGTAAATATTAATGATGATAATGAATGAAAAATCATTAATGTTTATTCACTACTAAATTGTCTACGTAATTGTCATATAATAGAAATATATTTATTCATTACATATCCAAGATTAGTACATTTGATATTTAAATAAATGAAAATTTTGTTGTTTTTCTCTCTCACTCTCTCTCTATCTTTGTACATTCAATCATGAACTGTGTCGTTCTGCTATTCATGTTATTACTCTGATTACTTTTTGTTTTCTCATTTTCTTCTTCTGACAGTAAGAATTGTACTTCCAATCCTTAATACATACCAATTATATCTGTCTGTATAAGTACCACACACAATACAATAAATATGAAGTGTACGTGTACATGTGTGTGTGTGTGGTCTACTTTGAATATTTATTTATTTGTTTACTTATTTGCTGTTCTCTTTCCTATTCTTCTTCTTCTTCTTCTTCTTCTTCTTCTTCTTCTTCTTCCTATTCCACGCATATTATCCTTATGCTTTTTATTGATCTAATAATTAAATCATCAGAGAGTCAATTGTTTCTAAGTTCAAGTGCAGTGTATGTATGTATCGATGCATATATGTATGTATGTGTATCAATGTGTAAACATGTTATATACTAAGAAGTTATACATTATCAATGTAACCAATTTTTTGACATTATAATACATCCACTTCTATTTATTATCAATTATGATAGATTTGTCCTAGTGACCGAACTGTTGATTTTTTACTCCCTTCTCTTTCCTCTTTTCTGCTTTTCTTTATCTTTAATTATCTTAATGGCTGTTACATAAATGTCATAATGTGCTAGAACATATATATCAGTGCGCATCCACGACCGCACTCATTGGGGATCGAATCCAAAACCGTCAAGTTTTGCAGCTTCCACTTAACCTTCAGATCATTGAGGTGGTAGCTAGTGGCGTTTATTTCTAACTTCAGTTAGTTCTAGATATTACACATTTGACATAGTTAAACTCCAATGGTCACACCTCAGTAATATTTCAAGAAATATTTCTTGAAGTTAGTTTTTAGTTAGCACATAATGATTCTTATTGTTTGCATGAAAAATCTAACAGTTTTCAGATCGTCTTCGTTACCAACTGACATAAGTCGGTAAATCATTATAAGTCAGGAAAGACCAAACAATAGTTTCATCTTACGTCGATATCAATAAACAACTGTGTAGCATGAAAAGTGAACATGTTTCAGTCAGCTCAGTTGTCGATCGACGGACCAACTGAGTGGTTTTTGAATTACCTACGCATATAATCCCCTGATAATGTAATCTGTTTATAGTAAATTTCATAACTAAATTGTAGAATACAATCTACAAACGAAATGTACACATTCTTTAACCATGGCCTTGATGAAATAGCTTTCGAAATTGGAGAACTTGTATATTAAAAAGAAAATTTAAGATAGTGGTTATGAAGATTTTTGAAATAAGAAAACAAAATTTCCAGTATAGGGGTTGTGGAGATTATACAGTTTTTGATTCAGATCATGAACCGATTGATGTTAGACCACCATTGGAAACCCGGAAGCATTGGGCGGCTGTTTCGTCCTGTCGTGGGACTCCTCAGGAGTGCACATCCACGACCGAACTCGGGGCCTTCAGTCTAGCGCGCGAACGCTTAAACACTAACGCCATTAGATGCCGGCTCTGTGGTGCAGTAGGTTAAGCGTTCGTGCGTGAGACTGAAGGCTTTGGGTTCAAGTCCCGCGAGTGGGATCATGGGAATGCACAGCTGAGGGGTCCCACAATAAGACGAAACGGCCGTCTAGTGCTTCCAGGTTTCCAACGGTGGTCTAACATCAATCGGTTCATGATCTCAATCAAAAATAAAGTTGATCTATGAGTAACTACTAAATGAAGACCCCTTCCCATCAGTTGAAGAGAAAAGTTTTTTTTAATGCATTGTTTTGTACAAATTCTTTCTAAAATGTCAACAACTGATTAACTACAATTGAATTATTTTTTAATACAAGTGATGGGAAACACTTTGGAATCTTTATATTAGTAACTATTCTACAAATTTTATAACAATATAAAAAATCACTTTATAGTTTAGATTACGTGCTGATTCAGTTTGACCACCATTGAAAATCAAGAAGTATTGAAAGATAGATTTCATACTAATAAAGGACTAATTTCAATCAATTCTTAATAATACTTTATCATCATCATGCATTTTCATTAATGCGAGAGTTCGTTATCTCACTAACTATGTTTAGATTCCATTAATGAAAACTTTTTTTGTTAGATCTCCATGAATCACTTCTTGCAAATAGTCACTAGTAAATGATAAAATAATCAGTTCTATACTACAACTAAATGTATCTGTCCAATGTTCGTTTATTTAATCTAAATTAGTTCATAATGTGAAACTTCAAATTCAACATTCTTGACACACAACACAATAGATATTTTCTCTATGGAGAATAATTCACTACTTGCGCCATTTATTTCTAGTTTGTATTTATTTTACATAGCGTTTTACAGAATAAATGTATATTGTTAGATAGATAGATAGATAGATGGATAAATTGTTTAATTTGGTTAACTAGTTAATTCTCGTTTGTTTGTTTGTTTTGGAAAGTAAACAGTTGAAACTTCTTTTTCCCTTCATAGTACTATCTGTCTACTTTTCTTTTTATTAAAAGAAATAGTTGTTGATCATCATGATCCTAGATTTTATTTGTTCCTAAGAATTTTTTTTTTAATATTAAGGTCAGATTAGATAGATAAATTGAATATGTAATGTAAACGTAATTATATACACAAATAGATGGAAATGAATGAAGATTAATCTAATCCCTTTGTGTACTTTCTGTCTTTCTCTTTCTCTCTCTCTCTCTCTCATAGAACATATTGATCACATTATCATATTAATTTCATTTTCTGTCAATGTTTTAGGGAGAGAAATAGAGATTAGCCTAGTGGAAAATCATTTTCCCCTTGAAATGAATATATATATATATATATATATATATATATATATATATATATATATATATATATATATATATATATATATATATATATATATATTATATACATGCTTTCACAAGCTTGTTAAATTGTTCCAATCTCACTGACCAGATAAACAGACTGACCTATTGATTGTGCAGTATTATTATTATTATTCATATTTAATCAAATATCAGGACACATGGTTCAATCGTATAATCAAATATTTCAATTGAATCTATTGTAACACTGGGTGGAAATTTCTACTCTTTCCATTTCTATAAGATCAGTGATTGCAACATGTCGCTATTAGTATATAAGCCATGTTTATAAATTTATGTTTAGTTAATGAGAAGCGTTAAAATCTATAGATTCCGATTAATGTATATAACTTGAAACTTCTGAAGAAAATGTTCTACTATTGGTAGAAATAAAGTGAAATAAAAAGGTATCCTATGCAAATTATAAGTTTTCTATAATATCTACCTATAATACCTATAATAATAATTCGAAATAGTATAGTAAAGATGCACAAAATTACTTTGGCCAATTAATGGTCTCGGCATCTTCTAAGGAAATATCTAGAAAGTGACTCATTATGGTAATTTTTAATAGTTGAGATCATGAGTCAATTGAAGCTAGATCACCATGGAAAACCTGGAAGTACGAAACGGTCGTCCATGGTAGTCTAGCTTCAATTGACTCATGAAAAACAACTCATTATGCTTTACTGTAATGTGATTGGATAATTATCAGTCATTTTCAACAGATTACTGAATTTCGAGGCTATCTGTAGCCTTACAAATACCCCTTATTTTCTGTATATAAAACAACCTTGGGAGTAAAGTTTCATTCATATCTCTGCTTTCTGTTCCCATTTGAGGTTCAAATATAGTAGATTGTGGGAGTGTATGATTTAGCTAGAAAGTCATTATCTTGACCGTTCAATTTATGAAATGCTTTAACTCTTGAGAACAATAAGTAAAAACATTCATAAAACTTTTCCATCTTATCTATTCGTACTTTTTTTTGCTTGGAATTGTTGATAATTGAGTTATGTGTGACTTCGATTATTGATTTTAATAACAGATTAGATTAATTACTTAGAGTTTAAGTCATGTGCATAACTGAAGAAAAATCGATATAACTGATTTGTGGACAGTGATTTTTTCTTTATTATCGGTAAATTGACTGAACTGGAAAATAAAAAAAATACATTGGATTCATTATTTCAGCGAATCTTATGTACATATTTCTGTAGAGTGGAAAAAAAGGCAAATGAAACAATCTTGTATTCTCTCAGTCAGTCAGTCAGTAACAACTTAGAACTTCGTACGTACGTACATCAGTTCGAGTTGCCACACCACATTAGCATAGAGATGCAGTGGTCGATTCAAATCCCGTAGTGGTAGACGTAGTGAGAGTATAAGCAGTAATCGGGAAGATTAGGGTTTGAAGATGTTACTTAAAGAGAATAATACAGTGAAATAAATTTGAGAGGAGAAGAAAAAAGAGACAAGGAGGGATAAGGAGATCAAAATTTGGGAGAACACAAAGTGTGGATGCACTTGTGCTATTGCAAAGATTTTGAGCCATGTGATTCAGGGTCTCTAACCATCGGTTGCTATCATCTCGCGGTCCCCAACCAGGTAGTCTACACCTACCGACATGACTCAGACCACTTGTCAGTGACTTCATGGACTTGTGCCATGTTTTGGTCTGGCCGCCCCTAGCTTTCTTCCAACCTACTTCTATACCACTGAACATCGCACGTCGAGGCAGTCGGTCGTTGGGCATACGTAACACATGTCCCAGCCATCTCAACTGATGAAGTTTCACTACTTCATCAATTGATTTGCCATCCTTACCTAGTATGTGTTTTCTAACAACTGCATTACTTACTCGATGGTCCCATGATATACGAGTAATATTTCGAAGACACCTATGATCAAATACTAGTAACCTACGAATATCCTCTACTCTTATCGGCCATGTTTCACTGCCATAAAGGAGGACGAAACGAACTGCTGCACAGTAAACACGTCCTTTGTTTGATAGACGGATATCTCGCCTACGCCATAAATGACGCAAGTTGGTAAAAGCTAGTCGAGCCTTCTGTATCCCTGCTGAGATCTCGTCACACACCAGACCACAAGGGCTGATGAGACTCCCAAGATAGGTGAAGCAGTCAACACGCTCAACTACTTCACTCCCTATCATTAGTTCGGGTGTCAATGCAACCCAATCCTGAAGCAACATTTTGCATTTCGAGGGGGAGAATCGCATCCCGAACATACCTGCATTGTTGCATAGAGTGGTCAGAAGACTCTGCATTTCTTGTATTCTCTAGTTTTCAATAGTTCACTAAGCTGGATATCAAATTAGTGATGAAATCTATATTATTCCACTTGGAGTAATTTTCATAAAAAGGGTCTATTTTAATTTAATTTATTGTTTTATTTTAATAATCTTTGTGCTCTTGTTACCTTATCAAAATCTATATAAGGAGGTTAATTGTTGTGGATAAAAAATTTCGTTGCTTATGCGCTGGTGATTTTTCTAAAAAGAAACTAAGTATTTACACCATTGAATGTCACCTCAGTAGGCTCTATATTAGAACTCAGTGTCCTGGGTTCGATCTTCAATAGGTTGAATCGTGTATGAACACTGCTTGAGTGTTACTATAAAGAAGGAGTTTATTGATAATATACATAATGACAGAGACGGGGCTACCCTGGAAGTCTTCTTAAAGGTGTACACGTATATGAGGAAAAATGAGTTAGAGATCCTAAGCACTCATAAGAACCCCCTATTCTTAAAACTAAAATTCAACGTGGATGTGGTTAGTAATGTCTTGCACGACAACTTAACAAAAGCAGTTTATTAGGACATCCTGAGAAGCTGATTTCGCATTGACATTTTGTAGTAAACAAGTGAAATCTACTCAAAGAATAAACTACCTGAGTTTCGCTCTTCCATATGCATTTACATATCCCGCTGAAGAGAAAGATATATTGACCGTACTATCATGTAACTTATTTCACGAATGAGTGAACACTTTTCATTTAGGTTTCTAAAGGGCTAGAAAAAGACAATACGCGGCTACATCTTTAGAAACCTAGTTGACAGTCATCGTATGGTAGATAAAGCCGAATCATTTCGAATGATCTATTGTATACTTTCGTCATTTCCTAATGGGCTTCGATCCTGTCTCCTATAAATATTGCGTTACGTGGTTTAATCTTTCCATATAAATAGACAATTATATAAAAGTAAATTCTGGTTGTGATCTTTTTGATAAACACTATTGCTCACTTATATGTGTTGTTCTAATTTTCACAATCGTGATCCTTAACATCTATATATATTTTTTACATCATAGCTGTTTCTGGAACATGGACACCACATAAAATTCAATGTTTTGAGGAAGCAAAAGCATTTGACAAAGTCAATGAACGAATGCCACCACATTTAGATATGAATTCTAAACGATGTTGGCCATATTCTTCCACAACATCAATAAATACAAATGATGAACAAGAAATTAAATTGTCTGATTCACATATTATCATTAGTCGTGAGCCAATTGTAGACGATGATGGTGATTCTTTACTTACAGTTAGCTCACAAAAATCAATGCCAAGACCACCATCGATTTGTGAAGAACACTCATCTGATGACGATAATGTTGGTGATGATGATACTGAAGTCAAAAATGATAGAAGAAAGCTCAGACAACAAATCGATACTGTTAATGATCTCAAATCAACAAAATTAACTAATCAACTTGATACAATCAACACATCAAATGATCCCAAGCAGTCGACTAGTTCTGGTGATTCAACAAAATCAAATAAAAATGATTTAAGCAATACTACTAAAACTCCTAGTACTACTGCTATTGGTGGTAGTAGTAGTAGTAGCAGTAGTTCAACATTACAAAGTAGAACAATTATAAGGACAATAACACCTAATAAATCGAAAAATGACAACCTATAATCATCAGTGCTTCCGTAGGAACATTCAATCTATCCATGTCTATTATGACTTGATCTGAAAATTCGTATTTTACAACTAACTAAGCGAATAATCAAATAGATCTATAATCTATAAATATACATATATTTAGATATTATGCAATTCATTTCATTTGTTTTTCTTCATGGTTGGTTGTGTTGTTGTCTTTTCCCTTTGGTCAGTCGTTGTTACTGTTGTTTGTCCGTTTAATAATCATAGTGACTTTCCTCTTTGTTTCTTTCCTCATTTGTGTTGATCTCTCTCTCCTTCTCGATTACTTTGTGTACATTTCCTCGACGTGTATTTTTGGGATGGGGGTTTTGAATTTCAACATAAAATCATCAATATGATAGTATTACATGTTTGCCACTGCTTTTCTTCACTAACCGAATACACTGTAAATATATACTACATTCTTGGTAATAATAATAGTAATGTGTGCACTTATATCAAAAGAAACTTATACTTATATACGAGGACCAGAAAACTTCAATTTATGTCCTGATAAACAGTGAAATTATACACAGAACATACCAAGACGCGGTCAAATAAACCTTTTTAGATTTTGCTCTCTATTTCTTACAAGCTTCGTTTCTTTTTCTATTGATCTACCTTTCTCCGATCTTATAGTTGGTTATCCTCTCTTTCTTTCTCGCGCACGCGCGGTATTCGACCTGTCAACTGTTATTTTCTTTTTAAGGTAGATAACTATTAAATAATCAGCAAATTTATAATCTGTGAGAATAATAATGAAGTGCTCATCTATTGTCTCTTTGTTTGCCTGTTGTGTCAATTTGTCTCTGCCCTATGTATGTGTGTGTGCCTGGGTATATGTCGTGTTCGACGTCAAATTTGGCGTGGAGTTTCCGTTTTTTTTGTAATTAATGCGTTTTCTTCCATTTTTAACATGATTCTTGTCGCTTGCTTTTTTTCTCCTAAATTTCTAAACAAACTTAGATTTTTGGTTTGGTCTTGTTTATTATTTCTACACATGCACATTTGATAATAATAATAATAATAATAATAATATCCATCTTACAAAATCATTGTCTACATGAATGTAAAACGAGAATTGCACAGTAACTAAGCAAAAAAAAATACCCAAACTAAACAAAGAATGTAAAAGAAGTTACACATGATTCATTTATTTTTCATGTTTAAAATTTATTTTTTAATTTCACAAAATTGGTAATTGGGGGGGGGTGGAGGGTAAAAGTTTCTATTGAATTATTATTATTATTTTCTTAAAATATGGGATATACAGGAATATTGTGTTTACTATTGTTTTAATTGTTGTTGGCGATCAATAATTTGTTCAATTTTATTTTTGTGTCTATCATTGATTGGCTTACTTTTGTTTTGATAACATATTGACGATAATGATGATTATCCGTATCCTCAATTCGATCAGTATTAATTAAAATGCATATGGTAACAGTTTCCAAGTGTTCCTGTTTAGCCACCTTTGATTTCTGATTTGTATATGAATGTATGTTTTCCCTAATCTTTTTGTTCGATTACTTTTTCAAGCTATTTAATTAGATAGACTAAAATCGGAGTTATGAATCGTCCATTTCTTTATGTATTCACTTTAATTCTCAATCTTCTTTTTTTGAAATGTTTTCTTCTGTTATGTTACTATGTTCATTGTTTATGTTTTAAATTACTGACACTCAAGTTGTCAATGGATTTTTAAACATATATCCATGTACATCCAGGTTGGCAAAGTATCTTCTGTTTTTCTTGATGTGTACAGTGTCATTTATACTGTTTAAATGAAAATTCACATGACTCACTTGTCTTTTTGTATGTATGTGTATATGCTAATGTGAACGTATATAGATTTTCTTTTGCTTTTCCTGTTAACCACATTCATGGTTTGTTTTCTTCATTATTATGCTCTTAATGTCCAACTCTCATCATGACCTATTGTCTTCAGTTTTTGCATACTTGTTGTCACTGCATATATACTACCGGTTAATGAGGTTGTTGGTGTTTTTTTCCCTCTCGATCTCTCTCTTTCTTTCTTTATATCTTTGTGAATATCGTCAAATGTGTAGGATAACATTGTGATTCGAATTAGAATTATCTTTTATTTTCTTTGTTACACAATGTACTGTAAGCATAATGATGATAACAATAACTATGAATGTATGACTCAATAAATTCTCCAGTTTTTATTCATCCTATTTATTCATATTAATTGATACTGCTCTATTTTACTCATTTACATCTTTAATTTATCTCCTATTTCCTCAATATCATTACTATCTGTTTATTTTCTGGTCAATTATTTTACAAGTGACATATTGATAACATAAACTAAACAAAGAACTAACTTACACATACAGAAAGAAAGATCAAAATGAAATTCGATATGATAACAGAATGAAACTGGCAATAAGTTTATACATATATAAAGTAATGAAGAACGATGCATTATGATTAACATTTTTTTCTAGTATACAACTACTTGTTACTACATATATATGTAATTGAACTTGTATATGATCAGATTAACTTTTGTCTCGTTTTTATTGTTTACAGTCCTTGATTTGTTCGATTCTCTTTTTTTTACTCTGTCGAATTTGACTAATATCTACACATCAGTACTAGTTACATCCTACATCCGCCATCCCTAATCACCTCCAATATTGTTAATATCAACTAAATATTTCCTCTCCTGTGACCGTGTAGTTCTTTTTTTTTATTCTACTACTTTATATTCAATAGAAGGGAACTGGTTACACAATCGTCCCTTGTAAGTAGGTGTACGTGTGTGTGCATGTGTTTGTATCGGGTTTTGATATTTCACTTTTGTCGAGATTAGTCAATGAAGTTTCCTAATAAAATACTTCATAAATATATTTTACTATATTGTCTTTTTTTCCTTCAACATGTACCACATCTGATCGTAGCTTCCAATTAGTTTGGTGACACATCATTTTTCTATTTTGTTCCATTTTGTGTTTTCTGTATCATCTTTCGATTATACTAAAACTAAAATTACTGCTGTTCTCTTGCTGATAAATCAAAATTACAAATGAGTACTTTTTTTTAAAGAAAAATTGTGCTCATCTGTTTACTCTGTTTTTAGTAAATGAGACATTTATCAACTGGTAATATGATTAGTGTTTTTTTTCTTTTGTCTACTTTTCATATACACAAAGATGATGATTTACCTAACCGTTTTGCTTTCTCACATATGATCTTTTCCCCTCTATTCCAGAAATCATTTTTAAAAAAAATATTATTACAATTACCGTTTGGATTTACCGTGTGTTTTTCCTTGTCTTCACAACCACCTCCTTGTTGTTGTTCGCCTTGAATTCGTTTTACCTTTTCCTTTGAATTACAGTTCACCTTCGGTTGAATTTTAATAATAAAAATGAAATATTACTAATTGTTTTCCAAACACTATTCACTTGCATACATATACTCATGTATGTATATGTAGATGTATGTGTGTGTGGGTGCATGTGTGGATACTTACCTCAACAAATAAATAAATGAATTTTTGGATTTACAGACAAATTGAGTTATTTTCTATTTCTTTGATCGGCTAACTAATTCGATGGTGTATTGTAGTGTTCATATGGAAAAGATTATTTCAATTTTTATCATTAATAGTTTTAGGACTCAAACAAAATTGATCATTTAAGATCCTGTGTTAGTTTGATTACAAATAGAATTAATGAGTGCTGTTTTTAGGCAGTAAACTATTAGAAGTCACCAGTAATTGGTGCAAAGCTATTTTATCCTAGTTCAATACGCTTAAACAATGTATACACATATATTTCCATAGTGTATATAATTCAAGTCTAAAACTATACTTTTCAACGATTGAATCATAATCTAACTTTCAACATTTCTAAACATTGGGTGATAATTCTTAGATAATTTATTCACTGAAAGCGCTTTTACGTTTTACAACGTTGTAAACATTATCTACAAAAATCTGGACATATTCCTATATCAAATACCAGATGCCAAATTCCTTATCGAATATATTAGTTTTTGTACATAAACTAGGGATTAGATGTTAGATGAAGATGATTTGAATCGCACAGATAGTAATGCTTCTTCCAATAAGATCGAAGATAATATTTACCGAAAAATTCCGGCCCGCATAAATCACAGATTCAAGGTTTCCTGACGAACATCTCTAATCACCTAATATGTCTACATAGCTTATACAGTATCGAGCTGTTAAGATTCACTAATTCCTAGCCGTTACTATGAGATATCTCAACATAAATTTAATATACAGTGATTCTGTTTTCCTTTATTTTTGAAGTTATATCACAATCTAAGTGCTGTTGGATTGTTTCGGCACGATAACAGGTTGATGTATGCCCTACTATCCTATTTGTCACAGTTTTAGTATCATAGATGTGAAAATGTTTTTAATTTAAGATGTTATATATATATATATATATATATATATATATATATATATATAACATGCCCGTGTCCATATGCCATCTCAAGGTCGGACAGTAGGTGGTAGATGACAACCAGACTCCAGTTATGTACTTAGTTAAAGTCTCAGTCTATATTTCCTTGCCTAGATAATGGACAACTCAAATCTAGGCTTGTCAGACAGTCGAACACCAACTAACACTACGTATCTATACTTCCATTGATAACAACAACTCCGATAAGATTGAATTACTGACTAGATTATAATTTAACGAAACAGAGAACACAAGTAATTAAACACAAACAAATTAGTCTGAGAAAAAGTTTATTTATTTAAAAGCTAAAAAGAAAAATCAGATAAATAATAAAGAACAACTAGTCTCCTAACTAAACGTACATTGTTATAATTCATGAAGTAATTGGTAGTGGAATTCATTAAACTATGTAACAATGTTAGTTTTAAAACGAATGACAATGAAAAAAATGTAGTTCCATACAGATGTAGCGGTTAGTTTAGACTGAAAATTTTCACTTGAATAGTTTCAGTAATAAAAAAATAGTAATGTTATGGTTGTATTAAAATAATTCAATATTGGTTGCTAATTTACTATTTATTTAAATACTTTATACACATCGATTTCGGTACAATTGAGTCTCAGATCATGAGGAAATAAGGTAAGGAATAAAGGTACAGGGGAGTTTTTGCAAGCTTAATGAAGTACTGCTTTTACCACTTCGTTGTGCATCCGATTTTTAACAGTCAGAATAGTAACACAATGGTGCCAAGAATGATACAGCTTTGTATATTTTGATTTATTTATCATTTTTAATAGGTTGATGTTATCTGTCAAGTCTCCATCAGGATTCATACAACTCAAGTTGAGCTTAGACAGATAATTCGCTTTCATATTTATGAATTAAGCATTTTAAAATGCATATAAGGGACTCATTAAGTGCTTTTATTTCCTATTAACAATGCTCTTATAGGATAGGGAATGGTTGAGAAATAATCGGTTTATATTATGGTGTATATAATAAAAGTATGATATAGAGACCAGCTTGAGTGATTCCTAACATGTCTAAGTGATTTTAAAGCCTTATTTCAAAAGTTCAATAGAAAGTTTGTATAAATCCTAATTATTCTAAACAGAATCAATGAATCCTGTTAGAGTTTAGTGATTTTAAGAAGCTTACTGTTTTTCCAAGGTAGAAAATCCGTTTCCAGATCTTACATTTATAGAAATATCATCAAATAACATCATTAATGTGAATTGATGGTATACTACTGAATGTTTCTTACAAATAACTAGTTTTGTAGAAAATTTATTATTTCTTATAAAGTCTCTGTTAAGAAACTCTCTAAAAGACGGAAGAAATGAAATTATAGGGTAACCATAGATATAAGGAATTTGTGCTTAAAATTAGTTAAATATTTCAGTATTCCTACTTCATTAGCTCGTCCATTATTCAATGGATATATATTACTTTCGAGCGTTAAGTAGCACGAAACTTAGGTTCAGAGTTTTTTTGTAAACTACCTTCAACCACTACTTTGCACCTCAACAAAGTACAAGCGATGTTAAATCATTTATACCAGTGGCCACATTGGAACGTGATCGATGGAATTCAATTCACAGTAAAGAAGTGCCTCACTTACGTGACAAACACTACTCGCGCGTGAGACTGATATATCCTGGGTTCGAATCCTGCGAGGCGAGGTCGTGTATGTGCACTGCTGAGGAGTCCAACAATAAGACGAAATGGCCGTCCAGTACTTCCAGGTTTTTCATAATGGTTTAGCTTCAATTAACTCATGATCTCAACTATTGAATATCTATTCATTTAAATCAATTAATTCATTTCTAAACTTAAAGAAAACATAATCATTTTTAATCCTAGTGACATTATAAATGTTTTTACATATAGCGGATAAAATACATGAATTCTGAAAAAGTGAAAATCATATATCATGTGATACATTCTATGAAATGAATTGCCTATAATTCAAGATGCGCATACATACAACTGTGAAGAATACCAGTTAGAATAAAACACGTCGCTAGCCCCATTCCATCTATTATATACTAATCTCTTTTTTTATGACTGAATGACTAAATCGAGGCAATCAGCAAAGGATACATCTATACCAACTGGAACTGATTGAATTCCAATCAAAATATAAACAATTGGCTAATTCATATTATAATTATTACTACAGATTAATCATTCGTTATGTTTCTTTTGTAACATATTAAACTGAACGTTATGTTGATATCGAGTAGTTGTTATCATGTATTATGTGAATATGTATACATTATATATATATATATAGTTACAGTATACTAATTATATAAGGTCAAGGTTGGATTATACTAATGAAGATTCATGTTGGTTGGAAAGAGAATGTTTCTTTCTATTTGGGTTTAATCAATGTATATTGATTATTAAATATTAAGCATAAGATATATTCCTATTATTTCATTTATGGAGTTTATTCTGAATCTAGGCTAAATCTCAACGCAATCATCTTACGATACATTATAGTGAGTATATTGTATTTTTTCTTCAGTTTTATAAATCCGTTATTAGGTGTTTGGAGATAATCGAGAGGAAATCATGTTTCATTCTATCTGATACTCAACAATGGAATGTATCTGAAATCTTAAGAAATTTCGTCCTCGTTATAGGATTGTGTTACCCTATGTTACAGTCGGATTATCGTTCAGATAGCTCCTCGATAACCTATTTGACTCATACATTGCACGAGAAATCCAATGTACCATCAAGCAAATAAGTTTTTTTCAGGATTAAAAACATTTCTTGCTAATGATAACCGACTGAGATGATGATACATATGTCCTTTAATGTCTAACGTTTGCCTTCAAGGATATATGTTTTAACTAGCTTAAAATACAAAATGATCTGAATATTTGACCTAACAGATCAATCCTAGCTTCATCAGAGAACTACTGGAAACTAAGATTATCATACAGATATTCCATCCTAATGTTACTTCAGAATGAATCATATTAGTCAGTCTAGCTGGCAAGATTGATACATATGGTTCACATGTGATATATCAAATCAAATGATGTCGAGTTGACCAACCCGATGGTTTGATATTATAGTATCCTTGTTATTAATATGCTAGTTATTAATACTTTAGGATGCTCACTTACTGATTAAACGAATCTGGCTTCATGATATTTTTTTGTCATCATTAAGTTTCGAAGTTATTCGTTGATAAAGTTTAGATCAAGTAGTTTCATGGAGGGTATTTTTATTTGTGAATGATACTCATCACGAATTCATCTCAGTTGAAGTACCATTAAAAACCAGGTGGAAATGTTACATCTGTTTCGCCAGAGCTTCAACAAAAGATCTTGAAGCTAAACAGTGAGCGCATAATCATAAGAGCACTGTATTAGTGTCCAGTTGTACTCATTACCAACATCATTAAATTCACGACAGAGGATGTTGATCATTCAATCCTATCGATGACAACTATACTATGGCCAACACGTCTGAAATCTAACGTTCACACCTAGTCGCTGGTAATTTAAGAAAGTTACTCAAAGCAAATCACTAGTAAGCACATGATTATAGTACTGATAAAATATCTTTTGCGAAGAGCATTTTAATTTGTATGTAGAATTCAAATTGGACCATTGTCGACTGTAATATTTGAAAGTAACTAAGTAAAGACATTTGTATTGGTTATTTGAAGCTTCCCATTGATGTTTGGGACTGCACTTGATCAGTCTCTTATTAGCATATTAGCATCCTGCACGGATTACCTCGATATTGCCTTAAAACACAGGCATCATAAATGAGCAGAGATGGATAATGATTAGTAATGGAATCTAGAACACGTGTTTCGTCCTATTTGAGACTCGTCAACTGGAAATGCGTGCATACCACAGTTCATATTCAACCTGGAACTCAAAAGCAGTACATTTACTCAAACTCCATTACGTTATTCAATTAGCTACTGAATCCATAGAGTCACTGGATGTAAACGTTATTATCTCATACATACAAAACATTTCTTACCTCAAAAATTATACTATAAAAACATTTGAAATTATTTTAAAAAATTGTAATAAAGA